TATCAAAGGTTTATAATCACTTTAGCACTATTATGACCATGTGCTTATCCTTATTCATAAACATTTACAAGAAAGTTTCTAATTTTCATGTTGAAGCGGCACCACTTCTATGTTTATATAGGTGTAGTTTCTTATTTATGTCTTCATTGCTATAAACATTTAATTATTAACTCTATTAAGAGTTCAATCTCATCCTCCATTTACGCAATGGCTTACATTAGTATTCCAAGATATAGAATAGGTTAACTAGTGTTTACAGACACATAACAATAATTTGTTATTACCTATTAAACTTTACAATTAGAGGTTACTAATTCAAAGTTAGGTTGCCATTATTGGTGTCTAAAAGAAATTTTAAACCCATTCCACTTGTGGTGTTTCTTACCAAATTTTTAGGTAGCGCCTTGGTAAGAGGATCTGCTAAGTTTTTAGCAGATTTAACATATATGATGGTAATTACCCCTTTTTTTTTTATCAATTCTCTAATATAATCATGTCTTAGACTAATATGTCTAGATTTTCCATTATAAATTTCACTATAAGCTCTAGACATAGTAGCTTCACTATCACAGTACAAAAAAATGGTTGTCATTAGTTGTGGTCACAACTCTATATCTATTAATAAATTTCTTAGCCATTCAGCTTCCTTGCCTGCTGCAGCTAAAGCTATAAATTCAGATTCCATAGTTGAATGTGAAATGCAAGTTTGTTTCTTGGATGCCCAACTAATTGCACCACTTTCAAGGGTAAACATCCATCCTGAAGTGGATTTATTATCACTTATACTAGTGATTCAACTTGCATCTGAATATCTTTTCAAAACAGTCGGATCTCCAAAATAAAATAAGCCAAAATCTTTAGTTCTTTTAAGATAACCTAAAACTCTTTCTATGGCTTTTCAATGACTTATACTAGGCTTACTTGTATATCTCGATAACTTGCAAATAGCAAAAGCTATATCTGGCCTAATACAATGCATAGCATACATAATACTTCCAATAGCACTAGTATATTTAAGTTGTGCAATTACATTATCTTGATTTTCTGTTAATTTTATACTTGTATCATATAGAGTATTGGTTTCTTTTATATTGAGATACTTAAACTTATTAAACAGTTTCTCAATATAATAATTTTGATTAAGAATGAAACCCTTATTATATCTCTTAACTTTAATTCTCAAAATGGTATCAACTTCATTTAAATCTTTCATTTTGAAATTAGAAATCAGATACCTTTTGGTTTCATTTATGCCAATCATATTAGTACCAAAAATTAGCATATCATCCACATAAGAGACATATTATAACTCCATTTCTTTAGTAAATTTTGAGTAAATGCACTTATCTGCTCCATTATGTTTGAAACCATTGGTTACTATGATTGAATCAAACTTTTCATGCTATTGTTTAGGAGCTTGCTTTAGCCCATAAAGTGATTTAATTAATTTACAAACTTTATTCTCATTACCTGAAATAATAAAACTTTTTGGTTGGTTCATGCATATTTCTTTCTTTAAGTCACCATTTAAAAAGGTTGTTTTAACATCCATTTAATGCACATGCAGTTTATGAATGAAAGCCAAAGCTATAAGAACTCTAATGGATGTTATTCTAGCTACTGGAGTATATGTATTAAAATAATCTATGCCTTTTTTTTGTTTAAAACCTTTTGTAACTAATCTTATTTTAAAGGTTTGTATAAAACCATCTGTATTATATTTCTTTTTAAACACCCATTTACATCCTATAGGTTTAGAACCTGGAGGTAAATCTACCAAGACCCATGTATTATTAGACATGATTGAGTCCATTTCATCATTAATAGCTTCTTTCCAAAAAGTAACATCTCTTGAAGTCATAGCTTCATTAAATGTTTTAGAGTCTTCATCTACATTTAGTAGAATTGATGTTTTCTTAAGCACTTTGGTTTTATTCTCTTCTACTAAGAATACTATAGAATCTGAAAAAACAAAATCAGAAAGCAAAAGATTATCTTTTCTAACTCTTTTGCTCATTCTAATTTTAACAGAACCATTACTTTCTTTTCTTTTATTTTCATTCATAGAAATCATTTCAATTTGTTTCTCCATATAATTTTGGTATCACATATAAACTTATTTTCAAAAAATTTTACATGAGTAGATTCAACAATAACATTAGTATTTAAATCAAGAAGTCTATATGCTTTTGAATTCTGTGCATAACCAACAAAAATACTTTTAATACCTCTAGGTCTTAATTTTGATTTATGAGGATAATGTATTTTATAAAAGGCAATGCACCCCCACACTTTAAAATAATCCAAATTTGATTTTTTGCCATGATTCCAAAGTTCATATGGTGTCTTTAAGAATTTCTTTGAAAGAATTCTATTATGTATGTGGCATACTGTTAAAAGTGCCTCTCCCCAAAGATTCAAATGTAATTTAGTATTTAACAACATACTATTTACCATATCAACCAACGTTATATTTTTTTTTTCGGCTAAACCATTTTGTTGTTGTCCTTTGATAAATAATTTCATTATCTTCACAAAAAAGAGAAAATGAATCTGAAAAATATTCGCCACCCCTATCTGTTTGAATAATTTTGATTTTCTTCTCCTTTTAATTTTCAACAACTGATTTATATTCTTTGAATTTATCAAAGGCTTCATCTTTTATTTTAATTAGATACACAAAAGTATAACGAGAACTATCATCTATAAATGTTATAAAATACCTTTTTTCTCCACTTGTTAATAAACCATTTAGCTCACAAATATCAGAATGTATAAGTTCTAATAATTCTCTATTTCTTTCAGCTTTAAAAAAAGGTTTCTTAGTCATTTTTGCTTTGACACAGATTTTACATTTAATGTCATAATTTTTCTGGTATGTTATATAACCATGCTTAGTCATATAATTCATATAATGATAATTTAAATGTCCTAATCTAGCATGCCATAAAGAAAAAAATGCTCAACAATATAAGTAGAAACATTATTTATTTCATTAATACTTAGTTTAAACATACCATCATTAGAATATCATTTTCCAATGAATACACCATTTTTAGAGATTATAACTTTATCAGACTCTAGTAGAATCTTAAAACCTTTTTTACATAATAGATTTATAGATACAAGGTTCTTTCTAATATCAGAAACATGAAAAACATTAATTTAGAGTTAGTTTCTGCCCTGAGGTGAATTTCAATTCAACCGTTCCTTTTTCAATCACTTTGGCAGGAGCATGATTTCTCATAATGATGTTTTCTGGTTTCTTGCATTCTTTATAAGTTTTGAATTGCTTTTTATTGTTGCAAACATGAATTGTTGCATCAGAATCTAACCATAAATCAGATGACTTATTTGTAGTAGCCATATGAACTTCGGTGATCTTTTCAATTTGCATGTCAGTCACCATTGCAACAAGTTCATTAATTTCTTGCTCAACCAGATTTGCCTTGCTTTTAAAACTAGAACCAATCTTAATTTCAGTGTTTTTAAATCTGCAATCTTTAATCAAATATATTTTTTTTCCACAATGGAAACATATTTTGTTCTTGTTAAATTTGGACTTCTTAAATCCATTCTTCTTAACTTTAAAATTATTTTGAAATTTACCAAAAGACTTGTGAGTTTTTTCAAAATTTTGTCTACTCACGTAATTCACATTGGAACCTCCAAGAAAGAGTGCATCTCTTACACGATTTTCTGCTTCAATCTGTATGTGAGTTTGAAATTCTTCACTAGTGAAAGTATTTCCTATATCCATTCCATGAAGGAGAAAGTTTTGAAAAAATAGCTCCAACTTGAAGTGAATCAGGAATCTTAATTTCCAGCTCACTTAACTTAGAGACTAGAATTTGTAACTCGTGCACTTGGTCCATGATTGGTTTATCATCAGTTATTGAAAATTCAAAGTATTTCAAAGCCAAAAACTTATCCGTACCTTTCTGTTCGTTCATGTATTTGTGCTCAAGAGCAATTCATATATCTTTTGATATTTTCATATTTCTGTATAGGTCATATAGACGGTCAGATAATGAATTCAGAATATAACCTCGACAAACTAGTTCATCTTCTTCACGCTTGCTTCTTGTTGCCTTAATAGTATCAGAATCTTCAAGAGTTGGTTTTGGAATTGGTTTCAAATTTGGATCAAGTACATAAAACATCTTCAATGTTGTCAATAGAAAAATTATTTTGTCCTTCCACCTAGTTTAGTTTGATCTATTAAAACGATTAAGTCTGATTACATCTTGATTTTGAAAATAAACTTTCATGCTTGATTCCAAATCCATAACAGTAGTAGGGATAATAGTAGATGCAATATCCATAATTGTCTTTAAATTGTTAGTAAATTTAAGACAAGCAAAAATAGTAAGAAAAAAGAAAATATAACTTTGAGGTGTGAATAACACTATCTTAAAGGCAATTATGCCTATAGGATATAACAAAACCTTAAAACTCTTTAAATCAGAAGTAGTGAAAATGATTATACCGAAAGATTTATTTATAATGAATGAACAGATATAAACTTTTATTCAGATAGTTATGACTTTCTATATAATCATGACCTTTATGAATAACAATCTATTTATATTTAAATAGTTATGATCATTTGTTATATGATAATTATTTCTGTTTAATCATAATTATTTAAAATATGAATAAAATTAATACAAAAATTAATTTTATTCATCAATAATTAAATCTTTCTATCCAATGTGAGATGTACCATATTCTAAACTACCAACAGTGGCTTCACAGTAATTTTCAAACCAATATTTTTTCAAGACTAAAGGAGGCAAAAGGAGTTTCATGATAAATTTAAAATTTTAAAATACAAAATAATAATATAATATAAAAATTTTAACTCTATTATCAAAATTTATTAGATAATGATTATTTTGTCAATTGAAAGCTTAGTGAAGGAGCAGTTTTCATTTTTATAATTATTACTTAATTAGTAAAAAAGGAGTTCACGTTACCTGATTATTCTACTAATTTGCTTCATTTTTTCTCTTTATTTTCTCCATTTTCCTTAGCGGCCGAGACTGAGAGCTGCCTCGACGTCCAGCCGCCATGCAAAACCACCACCACCACCACCACCACCATCCATTTTCCAGACATCACACGGCAACATTCTCGAACACTTCTCCTTCTGCCACGTGAACTGCAACCTTACATTGCATGAAAATGCAGTGCAAAACCTAGGCAACTCTTGTTTAATCACAAGCCAAACCATCATCTGCGGTGGTGACAGCAGCCCTTCATTCCCTTCCCTTACCGTCAACAACCTCTTGTACGCCTCGTTAACCCACTGAACCCTATTCAAACCGTCTGATATAAAGCATGGACACGTTTCAGCATCCATATTCTTCATCCTTTCCACGTCCGTACTCCCTAGCTCTCTCCCTTCCATGCAGGTATCTGTCACGCACTCCACCGTCACCCACGACTCCACCACCGTTACCCTCCTCTTTTGACTTACCATCACTGTCCTATCAGGTTCCTCGACATGTCCAATATGATCAATCCAGAGGTTGTTGAAGTTCAAGTTAAACAACGAAGGTAGATCTTGATTATTTTCCTCCAAAACTGCACCGATTTGATTGTTAGTCGATCCATTTGCTTCGGTTTTCTCTGGTAATAACTGCAAAGTAACAATCTTTTCAGGATTCCTTGAATCTTGTTCATGATCTGATGATGATCTTTTCTTTCTCTTGAAATTATTCTTTCGAAACCTAACGTACTTTCTTTTAGATCTGGGCTGTAAAAGCAACAAGTTCTTGTTATCAAACTGAACCCCACCGGAACCTGACTCTCCGGCCGCCGGTTTTGGAGCTATCGGCCGGAATCTTAGCATTATAGGATTGATCACCAACGGAAAAACCAGAGTTTCTCTTCAATCTTCTTTTCTTCGCTCTTCAAAATCTCAATCTTTTCCACTCTCAAAGGTTCAGTTTTTTTAAGGGTTTTTTCAATGGGATGCGATAATCATAGTGCCAAATCAACGGAGAACTAACACGTGGCTACGTCAACATAAGAAAAGTGGAGGGATTTGATTGGTTGAAAATTTAAGGATGGGCCCAGGTGAAAAGCGAAGGGGGCGAATCTGGTGTGATTGAGTGTTGAAGTTGGGCCCACGATGAGGACCAATGATAAGATGGCTGTGTACAGCATTGCCGAAAGAGATGGGACAGGTGGGCAATTTCCGAGAGCGGAGTTTTTAACCGTTGAATGAGTGGAAAAGAGAACAAACAGCTTTTAGAGGGGAGGTCCGAGAAAGTGCACACGTGGTCTTTGTTCATTAGCTTTCGACCTCTCAATTCGGTTTCTACAGTTTCAGGTCTTACTTTCTTCTACTCGCCCATTTTCCTCGTGCACGTTACCTAACAACTACCGACATTAATTAAATTCTACTAGCTGATAATTTAAAATATAATAAAATAATTCGACATAAAATATAAATAAATAATATAAAATATTATAATTTTAAATTTTAAAAATAATTACATATAAATTTAATAAAATAAAAAATATATTTTATATTTTCACTTTAACATAAATTATAATTTATAATTTTTATATAAAATATAATATAAATATACAAATTTTAATATTTTATACTCATCCACTAACCTCTAAATTTTCTTTTTTTTTAATAAAATCTTGGCTTAACGGTCAAATCTTAAGATTTTGCATTTAATTTATATTATATATAAATTTAGTTATTTAGTTATATATTAATTTATTAGTTAATTATTCATTAATTATAATATAATAATTAATTATTTAATTGACTATAAAAATATAATATTTGCTTATCATTGTACTTTAAAAAATATTTATCTTATAAAAAAATTCATGTTTAAGATATTTTTTAATTATAACATCAATTATATGTATAAAGTAATTAATTATTATATTTAATATCATATTCATTATTATTTATAGTCAAACATATATTAATTTATAACTAATTTTAATTTGAATCACAAATATCAAAATTTCTTCATATAATAATTTTTATTTTTAATCTAATCGAAACTATTCTTCTTCATGTTGAAAAGCACCTAATTATCATTTCCACTTTTGAACAAGGATGAGTGTTAGGTACATATCAAATTAGCGCGTGGAAGGGGTGATTTAAAGAAGCGAAGTAGAGGGACGCGTGGCAGATTCGATAAAGATGGGGATCTATGGGTAGAGATTTGTAACGTCATCCGATTTTAAAGGGGTTCCTCGTGCTTCAGTGATGGGATTGGGTCTCTGCTGCTGCCACGTGCTCATTTATGAATCATATCATAAACTGAAGTTAGGTATAAGTGCTGTAGCGCTGACATCTGTAATTTTGATGCTTCAAATGACATCATAATGATATGATATAAAATCAATATGAAAATAAAATATCGAAATGATATAATTTAAAAGTATAATAATTATTATATATATTTAATAAAATAATAAAAAATTATATTTTATATTTTTATATTTACATAAATTATATATATATAAATTTTAAATAAAATATATTATAAATATAAAAATATTTAAGATTTTATACTAATAAAATACACATATTATAAGTCTAAACATATGTTTACAAAGGCACAAAAAGAATTTATGAATATTAAAATTAGATCTATATTTTATTGTGAGATTTTTTATTTTTAAATATATTTTAAATATAAAAAGACAAAAATTTTATGTTAAATTTTAATGAATGATAATATATAGATAAATATATTCATTTTTAATATAAATTATAGTATAATTATATATAAATATTGTTTTTTATTAAATTAAAATATTAAAAATAATATTTATTAATATAATATATTTAAATTAAATAGATAATAAAATATATTTTTTATATTTTAAGGAATGTCAAGAGAACCTAAAATTCGATACCGATTGATTCAAATTATTAAAATAAAAAAAATTAATCTAATTTTTATTTGTATTGATTGTATTGTTGTGAATTGAAACTTATTGAATATATATTATTTTGTTATCTTTATATTTATTAAATTTTTTATAAAATTTATTTGATAAAATAAAATAAAATAACCAAATGGGATGGTATAATAATTTAATAAATTAAAGTTATTAAATAATATTTTTAATAATATATAAAAATAAAATTAAATAAATAATAAAATATATTATTTTTATTTATAACAAGAATAAGATGTAATACTTAAAATCTAACTCTGACTCAAATTTGATTTAAAAAACTCAATTCAATTACCTTAAATTAAAAAAAAAAATGCATCAATTGAATCATGACCAATTAAAATCTATATGATATAATTATTTTATCATATCTATTTAAATTAACTTTTTTACTACAAATTTTATTTGATAAAGAGTAAAAATAAAAAATGATGAAAGCAAAAAGGTAAAAACTTTAAAAAATAAAAAACAAAAAAAAAAGAGAAGGAAGTGTCGTATGGGCACTTAAAATGAGATAAAACACCTTAAATCCATCTCTAATCCAACTTAATTTCAAAAAAAATATTAATCTGATATTGATTTTAAAAAACAAATTTTTATTGAATTTGCACGAATCAAAACTAATTAAATATGGATTATTTTTTCCTCCTTATCTCCATTAAATTTATTTTCTAAAATTTATCTAATAAAAATAAATAAATAATAAAAAAATTAAGTCATATGATAAATTTTATTTATTTTATTAATATCACATAAAAATTTATTTTAATTGATTAAAAATTAACGGTTTTAATTTTTTCATTTAAATAAAGATGTAATTGAATGTAAATAAATATTAAAAAATAATTAATTATAATAAAAAAATTTAAATAATTTTGTAATTATGTGTCATGATCTTTAGCCTTTAAGCTGACTGAAATTAATTGCTGTTGGAAGAGGCTGAATTTTAAATTATTTTTGGGCTCAAATATAAATGGGTATATGACTGAAGGACCCAACTCTCAAGCCCACTAATGGTTTTGAGCTTTGGGTAATATAGGAAATGACCCAATAGAATTCAACAATGTCACAGCGTTCTTATCATAGTCTTGATGGTATCTTTTCATTACCTGGAACAAGTCAGACCTTGTTACCAAAAACGGACGGCTGAGATCTAAGATAATTCTAACCGTCCGATCGCATCATCATGGTTCCAACGGTCATAGTTCCTTGGAAATAAGCGAAAGCGTTTTTAAAGTAGAGAAAAGAACAACTAAGAACCTTCTAAAGCCGACTCCTTTACTTTTCTTTCTCTTCTTTACAATGATTAATTTTTTTAAAATTTTTACAAATATTAATCACTAATTGATCTAGGGTTTTCCCTGTTCATTCTTGTGTATATCTTTTAATTTGTCGCCTAAAAGACTCCGGAATTGAAGAAAGGGTTTTGGAGATTTGAGGAACAGCGAAGGAGCTGTGTCAGACTGGTAATTATTATTGGGTTGTTCTTGGGTTTTTGAAGTTGTTCTTTTTGATCCGGGTTAGGGTTTTGTTGTATCAAACTTCTTTTGGTGTAAAGATTTGAGATTTGAACTAGTAAATGTTACTATAAATTTTCAAATATAAATCATTCTGCTACTTTCTCTTTACCTTGCAATTTAATTTCACCTGGGTGATGGAAGATGATTAAATGTGAAATTAGGGTTCTTTTTGGGTGTTTCATCAACTTTCAAAGGGTTTAATCTGGTGAATTTGGGGGTTTTTAAAGATGGGTAGTTTAAATAAGTGAGCAAAAATGGTTAAAAATTTAAGATTTGGGTAAAGGCATCTAAGCTGATTTATAGATAGGTTCAATTAATTATCATGCAATTTAATTTTTTGGTCATCATTGGAAAAGATTTAAATCTGGGTATAGGAGGCTTTGGATTCTTATTATTGTTCTCTAGGGTTTTATCTGGTGAAGTAGGGTCTTTCAAAAGATGGGTAGTTCAAAAAGTGAAGAAAATGCACATAACAGTTTATCTACATTTGCTTAACACTTTTTCCAAACTTTACTTTAATAGTTGTACTTAAGGGATGCTGTAAAAAGTTGCACCAGAAATCCGAGGGGATAATTTGCTCCCATGGTTGATATGCAGGGTATGGTGATTAAACCAGCGGCTCCTTAACACTGAATAAAGGGAAGTAAAAAAAGGGTGCTTTCGCTAAGATGTTGGCAAAGAGTGATATGTTTGCAGGAGGGTATTATTGTGGCCCATATAAGCCTCCTGGTGAATCAGAAGGATCTGGTAGCTTGGGACGGACTGATACTGGGATTGCTGCTTCAGAAGATTCAAGTGCCCCAACGAGGAAATGTATCAGTTTGAACCCTGATAAATGTGACACTTTTGGTGTCGCTATACGAGTGCTTTCCTTGTCAAACATGTCACAGTCCAAACGAAAGGATTTGATACATAGGTTGAGACATGAATTGAAGCAGATACAGATGCTTCAGAAGAAAGTTGAGTTGCAAAGGACAAACGGGGTTACTGTGTCTGTGTCATCTTCCAGTGATATTTTTAGTTATACCGGTGGGCAAATTGTATCTCATGTACAGGATTTTCAGAAATCATCTAGGCCAGGGAAGAAAGGGAATCCATTGAGTGGCACTGGCAAGGGGTGCTGGCTGAATCGAGGTTCTTCTGGAAAAATCGAGTCTACAAAACATGCTTCAGCAGCAAAAACTGCTAATATTATCTTGATGAAGCAATGCGAGGGTCTGCTAAAACGATTGATGGGCCATCAGTGTGGGTGGGTCTTCAACCAACCAGTAGATATAGTGAAGTTGAATATTCCAGATTATTTTACTGTTATAAGACACCCAATGGATCTTGGAACAATTAAAAAAAAGATAGCTTCGGGTGCATATGCAAGCCCGTTGGAGTTTCATGCTGATGTGAGGCTTACTTTCAGCAACGCAATGACTTATAATCCCCCTAGTAATGATTTCCACGTTATGGCTGATACCCTTAACAAGTTTTTTGAAGTGAGGTGGAAAAATATTGAGAAGAAACTACCAGGTACTGGTGCCCAGTTTTTACAAAGTAAAGCTCCTGCTGAGGACCTGGAAATTTCTAAGACAATGCCTCCTGCAAAAAAGAGGAAGACAACCTCAGTGACCCAAGAAAATATACAGGAGTCTATAAAGAGAATGACAGATGAGGAAAAGCACAATCTAGGCAGAGAACTGGAATCTTTACTCACTAACATGCCTATGCATATCATTGATTTCTTGAGGGAGCACGGTTCAAATGGAAGGGAATCTGGAGAGGAAGAAATGGAGATTGATATTGACGAACTCAGTGATGATACCTTGTTCAAATTGCGAAAGCTTTTAGACCACTATTTGCAAGAGAAACAGAAAAACCGATTGAGAGCTGAACCTTGTGAAATTGAGGTACATATCCTCACAATATAAAGGCTGAAAAATCAGTACCATTGCTTGCTTTTGATGCTTCAAAGTAATATATATGTATATATTTATTTATTTATTTATTTTCGAATTGGTTAATTCTAAATCTTATTTATTATTGCTTGCTTTTCGGGAAAATTTTCTGATGCAGCTATTATATGAATCTGGACTAAGTAATTCATCTATGCAACAAGGCAAAGGTCATCTTTCAAATCCTTGTGCTAATATCCCACCTTCTGAGCTATGTTCAGAGACTTCCTTCTGACTTGTTTTCTGCTTATCTTTTGCATTTGCAGGGAATGACCTGGCTGATGAGGATGTTGACATTGGGGGAAATGAGCCTCCTGTGTCAAGCTATCCACCTGTGGAGATAGAGAAGGATACATGCCATATAAGTGCAAAGTCTGTCTGTTCTGGCCGCACTAGAGGTAATAGCATTTTCCTCTCATTTTCCTTTTGTATGCATCGGGTATTCTGTTTTTCTAATTAAATGATGAATCTCCAGTTTCCCACATTCTTTTGGATCTAATTTATCAATTTTCTATGCAGCTCATTTACCTACCAGCCTGCATATAGTAGGCATTCTTCTTAATTTTTCACTAAAATTAGACTTTTGGAAACTGTACGTCTAAAGAATGGGGGTTCTGTGCATTTATGTTTTCATACCATACAAGCTAATCTAGTCACTTTTGGCTACTTGTTCTGAACTGCTTAGGGATAGAGAAACTTGGTTAGGATAATAACTCTTTTTGTTACCCCCCACAGGGTAAATTAATTGCCTCTGCATATTCACTTTTTTTTTTTTTTGGGGGGGGGGGGGTTGTACTGCTAGTATTATTAAAGTTGATTTCTTTGGTTTCTCCTGTTGTTTACTAGTTATATTTTGCCCAAATTTTACTGGGTGCAAGCAGGCCTTATGTTGCCAGATGTCATCCCCATGATTGCTTTCTTTTGTATGCTTTGCAGATTCAGACTCTGGCAGTTCTTCGTACAATGAATCGGATGGTGCTAAAGCTTCAAGTCCAGTGGATGCACTGAAGGTGTGTGCTGTTTCTATTTGGTTTTATATAATATAAGACTGAGTTCTTTAACCTCATAATTGTATGTTTGATCTACTTGAAGCTTTACTTGGTCCCAAGGGGTTTCAGGAGGGGTGTTTGCTTTTTAACTGGTGTTTGCTTTTAACTAGCATCTTACTTTTATCCTTTAGGTACTGGAAGCTGTAGATTCTGAAGCTCAATTAAATGAAAACACAAGTGTTGACAATCCTCTTGATAGGAATCGTGAGTGTGTAAATTTATAATATTTGTATTTTCATGGGTATGAAGAGAGAAATGTGTTTGTGCTTGGATGTCAAAGCCATGAAATAATACATGCTCCGTTGCATGTAAGGTTTGTTTCTTAATTCATGATCTTATGCAGAATGTGTTAGTAGATTTGATCAGCTTGAGCTGACTTCTCAGCCAAAGCCAAGTTCTGTTGAGTTGGATGGTCTCCAAGATGGTAAGATCAATGAAGATTATAATAGGAAAAAAATTGTTTTTTGATTTAAAGCTGTGTCTCACTGTCTATCCCATTAAAAATCTAGGGGACAGTGCTCCAACTGAGAGACAGATTTCTCCTGAGAAACTCTACAGGGCTGCTTTATTGAAGAATCGATTTGCTGATACCATTCTAAAAGCTCGGGAGAAGACACTTACACAGGTTACTCGTAAACTTGGGTTCCTGAAACTGACTATACCTATACCTTTTCTGAGCATTTTGACTCTGGATTAGGGTGACAAAGGGGACCCTGATAAATTGTGCTGGGACAGAGAGGAACTTGAACAGCGAAGGAAGAAAGGTTTGAACTTTAATCTAATGTTTTTGGGTTTTCAACATGTGGTTTTACACAAGTTATATATATGTTATTAAAATGGACAAGTTTGCATATTTGAATCTTGCATGTCTAAGCAACAATTTTGTTAATGTTGGCCAGAAAAGGCACGGTTACAAGCAGAAGCCAAGGCTGCTGAAGATGCTCGAAGACGAGCTGAAGCAGAAGCTGCAGTTGAGGCCAGACGGAAGAGGGAGCTTGAGAGGGAAAAAGCACGGCTTGCATTGCTGAAGGTAGAGGAATGCATTGTATTGACATTTTGATAACTTGGCCCCCTGGTGTAATTCTGGACTTAATATCTGCATTTTCTGGTGTTTTGTAGATGGAAAAGACTGTTGAAATCAATGAGAATTTTAGGTTTCTTGAAGACTTAGAAATGCTTAGAGCTGCCCCCGCCGAGCAATTGCCTAGCTCAGTGGACGAGACAAGCCCGGATCATTCTCAGGATGGCTTGGGTAGTTTCAAGTTTGGGAGCAGCAACCCCTTAGAACAACTGGGTTTGTACATGAAGGAGGATGAGGATGAGGAAGAGGAAGAGGAAGAGGAAGGTGAGCCTGCTAGTGTTTCAAATCCTGTTAATGATGTGGAAGAGGGAGAAATAGATTAAAACTGTTCCTGTCTATCTTGAAACTAGTCGAGGAGAAAAGAAGAGAATAGAAAATTATATATATATAAGAAAAGAAGAGAATAGAAATTATATATATATATATATATATATATATATATAGATCCTTGAAAAATCTTGCCGGGGTATTAAAGTTCCTCTTGAAATATAATGCAAAGAGGTGCAAGAGAACTTGTGTTGGTTTTATGGGAGCCAGAGACAGATTAACAATGGTGGCAACATGGTTTGTTGTATTATGTAATTACAACTACAAGTACTAGAATTTCATTTTAAATTTTATTGCTATTAATATTACATGATTACCAAACTTTTAGGTTATGTTTGATGCTTAGGATAATGGATATGATAGTGTTATAATTATTTTATATTATGTTTGATTTGTATCTAATTGAAAATGATAAGATTATAAAAGAAATTATCATATGTTTTTTATATAAGATGAGTGGATTTTCTCAAAATGAAGAATATTATTTTTAATTTATAAGATTAAATTTATATATTTTATTATATATTTAAAATTATATTAATAATTTAAATTATATAAACTTAAAAAAATATTTTAAACTAATAAATAAATAATTTTATTTTAATTTTTACATATCTAAGATAAAATAATATTGATTGTAAAATATTGAACTTTTAATGCCAACAATTACAGTGATATATTGGTATAAAATTAGATTTTTAATATTAATAATCAAATACAATAATCTCAAATACTCGATTTTTTTTATTTATAAATAGGAAATTTTTTAGTCACTAATTTTTTATTATTTTTAGATAAATTTAAGAATATAATGATAAGATTTCACTCAATCCAAGCAAAGTTGACCATAACTTAAAATTTAACAATACAATTCAAATATAATTTTTAAACTTTTGAAGATCAAGCATTTTTTTTTTAACTATTTGGATATTAATTGACAAATATTTACTGAATTTAGTAAAAATTAATTGGGGTTCAAAGACTTGGTTACAATTGGATTTGTAATTTCATAGTATCATATTATATATAAAATCCTTTGAAAATAAAACACTCAAACGACGTAAATAAGTAGATTACTTATCAACTAGATTTCCACCATTCAAATTTCACCTTCACTTCCATAAAGCTAAACATAAATAAAAATCCATTGAAACAAGACCAGGCACGGAAATCTATGTAAACCTGATAACATACGCAGCCAAAATAGTACATTTTCCCTGTCAGTTTAACTGTCATAGGACATTGATTCCTTAAAAACTTGTCGCCTTTCGTTTTTCTGCCCTCTGGCAGCCCCTTTTCCTTTCTTTTTCCTTCTTCCAAGAAATCTTCGAAGCTTTCAATAGCTCCTCGATCAATACAACCCTTTTCCGCCACTCTTCAACTTACCTAATCCTACCAAAATATCCCAAAATCACGGCCAACCCAACTCGGCAATTCTCATAAATTTCCTCTTTTTTCTCCGGTCCAAGCCTAAGATCACAGAAAACGAACAGACAAAACTTTCAATGGAAACTGCCCTTTTCTTCCCAATCCCGAATCTCCCTTCGTTTTTCTCTATGTTTTTGATCATATATTTCTTGGCCTACTTCATTGTTTTCCGTAGCTGGAGCTCCAAGATCCGCCCCGAAGCTTCCTCTTGTTTAATCTCTCTTTTCCATGGCACGCCGGCTGTTTTTTTAGCCACTTTTGCAATATTTTCAGACCAAAACCGTGGCTTTTCTTCGTCAAACACAAAAGTCCAGAATTTAGTTTTGGATTATAGCATTGCTTATTTTGTTACAGATCTCCTTCACTACATTATTTTCTTCCCTTCAGACATCCTTTTCATTGGCCATCATTTGGCTACTCTCTTTGTTTTCATCACTTGCCGCTACCTGGTCGTCCATGGCGCGTATGCTATACTCTTTCTTTTGATTTTAGCTGAAGTTACCAGCTTTTGCCAGAATGTTTGGACCTTGGCAACTGCAAGGAGGTACGATGATGAGTTGGCTACAAAGGTTTATGCCTTTTTGTCTCCTTATTTTTATGCCTTTTATAGTGCTGCTAGAGGTATTTTTGGTCCATTTTTTGTGTACCGAATGGGAGTGTTTTATATAAGTGGGAGAGCTGATAATGTGATTCCTAGATGGCTTTGGATTTCTTGGATGTTTGTTATTGTTACAGCTATTGGTGTTAGTATTTTGTGGATTTCCAATTTGTGGTTTGAGTTGTTTAAAGAGAAAAAGGCAAAATTGGAGAAGAAATTATGATAATGGAGGATGTCTTCAGGAGGGTTTTAACAATCTACGTGAAGAATATTATTAGAATATCAGAGGGGGATGAGGATTGCAATGACTTGGTATCTTTGACGAGGTTTTGGGATGAAATGACTACTTTTAGAACAATTTTTTTTGGTTTTTCTCAATGGATACAATCGTATTTGAATGAATACTTTTGTAGTTTCTCAATACAGAAATAATTGAAACTATAAATAGTGCATGAATCTCAATGTCTTATCTCAGTATCTTCATTTCCTTGACATTAAGCCAATTTGAAGGAACTCAACCAGTATACGCAGCTTATGGCATGATCCTCGTAGATAGTTATTAAGAATTAAATTCAATGGTACAAAAGTTTAGGCGAGAATGGTGGCTACGATTTAATGACCTTCGGCGATGCCAGTTGGATGTTTAAAGCCATACTTATGGTTGACAGACAGCCTAGTTTTATAGGTAATTTCCCATGTTTAGCTACCATTTTCTCTGGTCGGTGGGCATTGACTTGCTTGCATCTTGAAACATAGCAATGACAGCTAATGATATGTTAATGTTATTGTTAGTTTTGACTTGGAACCTTACCTTGACGACTTTTTCTTTGACAACTATAAGGATCTTGCAGTGGATCCCCGGTGAATTAAAATTGGCTTTCTTTAATCGGTTAGTGGTTTGATTCAAAGATTGGTTTTGCTGGAATTCACAATTATCTGAAAAATGTTGTCCAGAAGCAAGTTTCCTGCTGGGAAAATTGTTCTTAAAAAATAGAGTTGTTCGGTCTTTGATTTCAAATGTCATGCCAAATATGGACAACCTTCAAGGCAACTGCCAATTGTCTGTCACATCCTTCTGCTACAAAACTAGCATTCAAAAACGTCAACGGCCAAATATTGACAAATAAAACTAGAAGAATGGTTTGCACATGTGGCTTACAATTCAATAATAAACACAAAGAAAGCCGTAGTACAGTTGTGGTATGAATCCGATGCTTGTATCAGACATCTTTCCAGAGCAAGAGCCAACCAGTGGTGAATAATCATTTGGATATGAATCCTGATTTTGGCATAAAGTATGATATGATATTCCTCAAACCTCCAATAGATGATAGAGTCATTAGCAGAAGGGCGAGTATGATACAGATCTGAAATTTAAAAAATCCAAATATCAGATTTATTGTCAAAAGGCAGATGATAATATGAGGAAGAAATTTGCAAGATTTAAGTTGAAAATATACACAGTTGGTACACCAAGATAAGCAAAACTTCTTCGGTTTGTTGATAGCTAGGAAGCTAAAGAATGACAAGAAAAATTCGTATATCTACCAGTTTGACATCTTTGTCAGAATTAGCAAGTGGCAATCCAACCGAACCAGAAGAAACGATATCATTCTGTGAAATTCAAGGACGAAAACATGGCTTCAACTTTTAAGTCACCCCTCTTTATTTCCAGGTTCAATGGACATAAATTTAGGATTTTGTTTTAGAAGTTTCTGCTTCTTCAGTAATTTCTAACAACACCAGCAACATATCTCAATTCTACTCCGTACCTGAAAGACAGATTTTATTACTTGAATGCTGAAACTAGGACTATTGCTAGATATTTACATGCCTGAAATGTTGTTCCTGGCATGGATGGTTATTAACTTATTTTTGCTTTTCTAACATGTCTGCCTGCTATGAAAATATTGAAACATTGTTGCAAAAATAGTGTAAAATATGATGGCCTGGCTCATTCTGGATTTGCATATCAGTTTGAAAATTTTCTGTAATTTGGGTTTTTTTGACATAAATTTTTAAAAGTCTTTGGCAAGATCCAACACGAAATAGATTAAATGGAAATATACATTAAAGCAGACGTTAATTAAACTTAGATACCATTTCACAACTGTATATTCCCTTTTCACCAACAGCAAAACTGAAGGATTTATAGCAGAAAACAAGAGAAACTAATCTGTTACTTGAAGTAAATTGGCTCATATGATCATGAGCTTCATTTCATTAATTTATAGGCTTCAAAAATACAAAAGTAGTTGGCCTAACAGCATGGGTCACCATGCACAGACCCATCATTTTACCTAGACTAATCTGCTGTCAGAAAGTTCCAGCAGAAATGCCATACTTAGTTGCTTCAACCACTAACACACTAACATGCTTCAACCACTAACACACTAACACTCCTCCTTGGTATTTCTGCTGGAAACACCAAGACTTTTCCTTAATGTTTCAAACCTTGCCTTTGGTAAGGCTTTGGTCAGAATATCTGCAATTTGATCTTCTGACTTGCAATGCACCAGTTTCACTTCATTCTCAGCTTCAACTTCTCTAATAAAGTGATACTTAATTTTAATATGCTTAGTTCTTTCATGAAACACAGGGTTCTTGACCATTGCAACTGCTGACTGATTATCACAAAAAATTTCTGTTGGATCATCTTGCTTTTGACTCAAATCCAACAGAATTTTTCTTAGCCAAATTGCTTGATTAACAGCAGCTGCAGCAGCTATATACTCTACTTCTGCTGTTGATTGAGCCACTGTTCCTTGTTTCTTTGAATTCCAGCTGAACACATTTAATCCAATGAAAAACACATAGCCTGAAGTGCTTTTCATGTCTTCATGAGAGCCAGCCCAGTCACTGTCTGTGAATCCTACCAATCTTGAACTGTCATTCTTCTTGAACCAAATTCCAAGTTCATTGGTTCCTTTGACATATCTCAACACTCTTTTTGCAGCCTTAAAATGCAACTCACTAGGATTTTGCATGAACCTAGAGAGTAAATTTGCAGCATACATGATGTCTGGCCTTGTTGCTGTCAAATACAATAAGCAACCAACCAAGCTTCTATAAATAGAGCCATCAACTTTGTTAGCTCCATCTTCCTTAACAAGTTTCTCATTTTGAGCCAAAAGAGTGTTGACTGGTTTGCAATTTTCTATCCCAAACTTATTCAGGATTTCATTTGCATATTTTCTTTGACAAATGAAGATTCTTGCTGGTCTTGATGAATCTCCATTCCAAGAAAATAAGACATTTCTCCCATGTCTGTCATCTCAAAAATTTCCTGCATTTGGAGCTTAAAATCTTCCACAAGAGCTGATTTGCTACCTGTCACCAGAAGATCATCAACATACAAAGAAACAATCAACAGATCATTACTGTTAAAAACTTTAATGTACAATGTTACTTCACTGAGGCTTTTCTTGAATCCTAACTTCAGTAAATGATCATCAATTCTGGAATTCCACACTCTGGGAGCTTGTTTTAATCCATACAAAGCCTTCTTGAGTAGATAGACTTTGCCTTCATGTCCCTTGGCAACAAAACCATCAGGTTGTTCAATGTAGATCTCCTCCTCAAGATAACCATTCAAGAAGGCAGATTTGACATCAAGTTGGTATATTTTCCAACTTTGCTGAGTTGCTAAGGCTAATAGCAGCCTTATAGTGTCCAACCTTGCAACTGGAGCAAATGTCTCTGAAAAATCAACACCAAGCTGTTGGGAGTAGCCTTTAGCTACCAATCTAGCTTTAAGTTTGTTGATGGAACCATCAGCATTCAACTTTGTTCTGAAAATCCATTTGACACCAATGATGTTTTTGTTACTTGGTCTGTCAACCAGCATCCATGTTTGATTTTTCTCAATCATTTGAATCTCCTCCTTCATGGCATTTCTCCACTCTGAAAATTTGACAGCTTCTTCAAAGCTTGCAGGTTCAAGAATGGCAACATTTGATCTTTGATAAATATCTGTGAGTGGTCTGATTCCTCTCACTGGTTCATGATCAATGATTTTATTTTCAAACATATAATCTTCTTGATCTTGGAAGCTTATCATGTCTGCAGCAATTTGTTTGACTGATTCTCCCTTTGATTTTTCTCAATTTCAAGCAGCTTGCTCATTAAATCTCACATTTTTACTTACAATCATCTTGTCTGTAAGTGGATTGTAAGTCCTATAGCCTTTGGTGATGTTGCTATAGCCCAAAAAAATACATATTTTTGCTTTTTGATCAAGCTTGTCCCTTTTGATATCAGGAACGAACATATAACAGATGCTGCCAAAAATTTTGAGGTGGTGCACTGATGGTTTGCTTCCATTCCAGGCTTCAAAAGAAGTGTTTCCCTTCAAAGCTTTTGTGGGCAGCCTGTTGAGCAAGTAGACAGAGGTATTGACAGCCTCTGCCCAAAATTTCTTTGAAAGATTCTTCTCAAACAACATGCATCTTGCCATCTCCATGATTGTTCTATCTTCCTTTTCACTGACTCCATTTTGTTGTGGAGTGTAAGTTGCTGTCAGTGGTGTTCAATTCCTGCAACTTCAACAAACTCATTAAATCTGTCAGATGTGTATTCAGTACCATTGTCTGACCTTATGAGCTTGATTTTGTAGCCACTTTGATTCTCAATCCAAGCCTTGAACTTCCAAAATACATTTGCAACTTCAGACTTTTGTTTCATGAAGTAAATCCAACACATTCTAGTAAAATCATCTATAAAAGCAATGAAATATCTACTGCCATTCAAGGACAAGGTTCTCATAGGACCACAAACATCAGTATGAACAAGTTGTAATTTTTCAGTTGCCCTCCATGCTTTGTTAATTGCAAATGGTAACTTACTTTGTTTTCCTAGTTGACAGACTTCACACACTCCAGCACTGACTTCAACAGTAGGCATGTTTAATACAAGATCATTTTTATGCATGAAATTCAATGCATTGTAGTTGAAATGTCCCATCCTTTTATGCCATAAAGAAGATTCATCATGTGAAGTAACATATGCAGAGGAGTTTGCTTCATGCCAATTCAAGGAAAAACATTTTCCTTTCATATTAACAGTAAAGAGTTCATGGCCAGTGGGATCATGAATTATGCATGCCTTGTCTTTGAAGACTAAAGAGTAGTTATTTTCTAGCAACTGTCCTACACTCAACAGGTTTTGATCTATTTTGGGCACAAATAACACATCTGAAATGAGTTTGGTACCTGTTGGTGTCTCAACTGCCACTACTCATTTTCCTTTGACTTCTATGAAATCACCATTACCTATTCTGACTTTAGAGGTGCAGGTCTTGTCTAGTTCTTTGAATATGTTGATATCAGATGCCATATGGTGTGTGCAGCCACTGTCAATGAGCCATGCACTGGAAGAGGCTCTGGTTCCATAGCAAGTTGCAACAAAAACTTGCTCTTCTAGCTGTTGTTAATTGTCAGCAACTCTGGCTTGTTGATCTGGCTACTGCTATTTTTTGTTTTTACATACCTTCTCCATGTGACCAAGCTGCTTACAGTACCTACATTGTATGTTAGGTCTGTATCAGTAATATTTCTCCAAGTGAGTAGTCTTTTTACAGTGAGAGCATGGTGGAAATTTTTCTTTCTTTTCACTGTTTCTAGAACCTTGGTTTCTTTGATCTCTTTGTTTTCTGCCTTTGCTTTCTGTTTGCATCTTGCCTTTCTCCTTGGCTGTAAAAGCACCTTCTATTGAATCCTCTTGTCTGATAGCCCTTCTTTGCTCTTGAGCTTGTAGAGCATTGAACAATTCTGCTGGAGTTATCTTGGTCAGGTCCTTAGAGTCTTCAAGGGATGAGATTTTTGACTCAAACCTCTCTGGTAAGCTGACAAGAACCTTCTCTACAATTCTTTTGTCTGACAGCTCCTCACCAAGTAATCTAATCTTGTTTACTATCTTAATGAGTCTGTCATTGTACTCCTTTAAATTTTCAGACTCCTTCATCTTTAAGACTTCAAACTCTCTTCTAAGATTCAACACTTGCATTTGTCTTGTCTTGTCACTGCCTTGAAACTCTTCCTTGAGCACATCCCAAGCTTGTTTTGTAGTTTCACAAGTCATGATTCTAATGAATATGTCATTAGATACTGAAGACTCAATACAGCTTTTAGCCTTGTACCTCTTTGCCTTTTCTTCACTATAATTTTTCATTTGAGTTACTGTTGGATTTGCAGGAAGTTGTGGTGGTTCCTTCTCATTTTCCACCACTTTCCACATATCAAAAGCACTCAAATAAGTCTTCATTTTGACAGCCCATATCTGGTAGTTTTCACCAGAAAAAATAAGAGGTGGAGGTAAGGAGCAATTCCTTGAGGCCATTTAAGGTTGACAAAGGCTGGCTGGAAAGTGTTTGATGGCTTTTCACTCAATTTTTGGGACTCACAGATCCTTTAAGAACTTAAGGAATGCTCTGATACCAATTGAAAGATTTATAGCAGAAAACAAGAGAAACTAATCTGTTACTTGAAGTAAATTGGCTCATATGATCATGAGCTTCATTTCATTAATTTATAGGCTTCAAAAATACAAAAGTAGTTGGCCTAACAGCATGGGTCACCATGCACAGACCCATCATTTTACCTAGACTAATCTGCTGTCAGAAAGTTTCAGCAGAAATGCCATACTTAGTTGCTTCAACCACTAACACACTAACATGCTTCAACCACTAACACACTAACAAAAACAAACAAAAAAGACTATTTTTTATGCATACACTTGTAATAAATGAAGAAACAGTGATGGCCAATGCTCTTGTGGTCCGGTCTCAAATGAAGGCTGTCAGCATTGAGCATTGACAATGGCCTAACATGCGCCCCATCAGACAGCCTTAACTATCATGTTCTTCATTTGATCCTACTCTGCATTTTGTGGCATCCCACTTCAGTTCTTTTCTATTGTGGGAAGACAACAATTTAAGAGTAAAATTGATAGTCCTTAGCTTGAATGATGATTTGCCTCAACCCTCCAATTGGTGATATGACCATCAAGAGAACACCTAATATAATGCAGATCTGTGAAAAAGAAAGAGAAGCCAAATAAGACCAACTAAACACCAATTTGAAGCACATTGAAACAATGAGATTAATAAAATTTGAATCCAGTTTAACATACCCAGTTAGTCCACCAGGATAAGCTGAACTTTCTTGGTTTGTAGATGGCAAGCCATATGATGCAAGGGAGCTAATGGAAGTGAAAATCAGTAATGGTGTAAAAGTTTTTCAAAGAGAATGCTACTTTTCTTATAGCAAGAAAGATGGCATTAAGAGAGAATGTGACTTACAAAGTATGTTGTTGGTGAGAAGGCAAATCCTCCGAAAAATCCAAGAAGACCACTGAAGAAAGGGAAGGTAATGCCAACGAACATTGTGAACACTGCAATAAAGATATGACATATGAATGATGACCTTGATTTGCATGCATGTAAGTTGAAATAAGTGAAGAGTTCACTTACCAACATAAATATTTCGTGCAATGAATCGAAGTGTTCTAGTTGGCCTGAAATGTAGTTTCTTTACTAGTACAGTTTCTATCATGTCAAACACTGGCATAGCATAGACCTGCATAGACAAAAGTTAAAACCAAAATCTAAGCAAGTATGGTAAAATGTGAACAAGAAGAAATTTTGATTTATACAAACCTGGTAGCTTCCAATAACATGAACAACAACAAAAATGTTAGCCATTGCAATAAGCCATGCTGGTTTCTCCAATGAGATGAGAATGTTGTCTTGAATAGAATTGCCAAACATCCAATACCCGATTAAAGCAACAGGGAAGTAGCACATGGCCACAACGATATAGGCAATGACAACACCTCTCCACATGGGTCCTTTTGATGGTTTCTCAGGTGTAGATGGAATTGTAGCTTGGATCTCCAAGACCACATTGTGGCCAGCATAGGCAAAAGCTACATCACCCAAGGCACTGAAGAAGTTGAGCACTGTTCCTGTGGCTGTCTTAGCTTTGTAGCCATATTGCACATCTGGCTGAACACCCTTAGCTACTGAAGCTCCCCAAGCAATAGTGGAGTAACTGTAGGTCAAAACAATTACCAAATCTTGCATTAGCATATCAAATATTAGCATTAATTTATCTGAAATGGCTTATGAAAGGATGTAATACCTCAAGGACATGACTGCTGCCGCCAAGGAGACACCAGAAATGGAGTGGAAGTTGGGAAGATGAGACAGCACGAAGTGAACAGAGGCAAAAATCATGATGAAATAGGTTAGTTTTATCTGTTTGCAGGTACTGCAGACAGTGTCATGGAACTTCTTCAGTGATTTGCCTCCAGTAACCATGTATACTATGCAGACACCAACTTCACAAATAAGTTGCTGTGGTACCACAATGTAGAGACCAAGTTTTTCACCAAAGGCATGTTGACCCAATTCATGGTATCTGTCAAAACGTTTTCCTGGAACCATCTCATGCATCTCAACCATTTGCCATAGAGTATACAAAGTAATAATCCATGATAGGACTAGGACAGCCACACCAGGACCCCTGAACCCAAATAAAAATGTCAGATTACTCTAGGGAATTTTCCATATGCTTGATCATATAGCATCCCAAATTAACTTCATTAAATAATTATTCGAAAATTTTCCATGTTCATCATGTAGTTTGCACTGAACTCTTGGAATATACCATCCAAGCTCTGACATGGCATAGGGGAGACTGAGGACACCGGCTCCAACCATAGCAGTGACATTGTGGAAAGCTGAATACCACCAGGTTGCATTTCTTGATGAGGTAATTGGCAGCCAATCTTCAATTGCTTTCTGCTGCGCTAATTTTTCTTCATACTGTGATTGACAATGGAACAATTCTCAATTAGATTTGACTGCAACAAATTCATAGTAATTCATAATTTAAAGTGAACTACATGTATAGACAAAAACTGAAAAAGCAAATCAGACAAGCAGCTGATAAATTTGTGGCTAGTGAAAGCCACCAAAAGTCCCCTCCTAGTGCTTCTGATAATTGCTAAATGTGGACAACATGGGCGTTACAGGCATTTCCAGATGCAGTGGTGATTGGAATCCCCTAATCATTGAAGGGGCAAAAAGCACCTATATCAGCAACTTATCAATTGTCATTTGTCAATGGTTCAGTAGATTCTCAGTTGCCTAATTTCTCTTGTCCTATGCATTTTAAACATGTCGACCACCTCGTTCCCACTTCACACGTTTATCTCCATTCCATTAAATACTAAAGGAAAGGGGGTCCAGCATGAAAGATAGACCGCCTACACTCCTAATAATCTACACATTTATTTATTATTTGGATGAACATTCACAATTTTTTTTTTAATCGGATAATATGAATTAAAGCTGCTTCTGGTTAATAATATGATCTGCACTATTTTTTTTTCTAGGTAGTAGTTTTCTTATATAATTGAAATGATTATTCATATGCATTCAACTCTATCCATTTACTCATATCTTTTTCAACTCTGTTAATGTTTTCTCTCATACATGATCAAGGCAATTCAAACTGTTGTACCAGATTCATCTTTTCAAGCTCAGGAAATGTTGCAGAGATGAAAAAATGACAGGAGAATAGTCAAAATTATCACCTTGAGTTGAAAACTGTTCGATTTCCAAATTCTTATGATGAGAAAATGATTCAAGAATATAATACATGAACTATCCTATATGTTCATGAAAGTGGGTCCAGGTTGCTGAATTAAGTTAGTGGCTTTTAACTTTTCATTGTTTGTTGAGGAAGAAGAATTACAGGAACGAAAATCATTACCTGACAGAAAACTAGAGAGGTCAAGAACAAAACATACAACATACAGATACAAAAGAATAAAGCTAAAAGGACAAAACTCCAATGAGTTTGGAAATTTTCATTAAACTTTGTGGTTAAAAGAAGCAAGACAAAACAGTACTACAATTGCATGCACATAGGAGAAGTTAGAGAAAACTTACACTATTGTTCCGGGCATAATCATTGCCAGATGGAGCTTGAGTTCCCATGTCTAAAACACAGCAAAAGGAACAAAAATGAAAACTACAATGAAAACCAATGGAAGTTGGAACCCTGGAAAAATCGAACTGGTTTGGCTAGTATTTATAAAGGAAAAATCCCACTTCAATAGTTGAAAAATTAAAAAAGAGAGAAAGGAAGAGAAAATGGAGCCTCAATTGTTCTTGAAGGTGACGTTTTTGATGTTTTTGTTTGATTTTAGGATTCGAATTCGAGATGCTCAGTCGGAAACCAACTCAACCAACTCGATAAAATGAGACTGAATTCAACTAACCGATTTCATAACATTTATGATTGAACTAACAACTTATTGGTACGTATGCTTCTTTTATTTGCTCAAACTCATTCATTGTTGTCATAAAATTCCAAGCTTAATTAATTTTTCCATTTTGTTTTCGTGGCTAGAAAACATTCAAAATTAACCAAAAAAAAGTCTTGTTCGCAACGTTTCTCTTTTGTTGCGTCTAACGAAGGTAAATTGAGTTACTTGGCAAATTAAGCATCCCAACATTATGAATTTTCCATCTCTTCCATTCAACATGGGGAGTGTTGACTGCTCAACATTTTTCTTTATGTGCCAATGGTGTCCGAGCTAAGTACCCGCACCAATGCCTAGCATATGTTGATGGTGGTTGAGACATATGTCCATATTAAGGATCAGCTTGTGTCGATCTAATATAATACAGGATATATGTGATAAATTGATTGATTTAACTCTATTTAAGCCAAACTATTTCAGGTTCCGATATTTGATTTTTTTTTCTTTTTGTCAATTTCAAAGAAAATAATAAAGTTCTGTGAGAAGAGAACTGTGGAAACCAACCTAATTTGTAGTAAATAAGTGGCTCAGAGTTTTCTATCTTGTTACTTTGGTTATGAGTTGCTTTCTGGTGTTAGCTAGTCAAATATTCTTGGTGCCTAAAATCAACTCTTTAACAAAAAGGAAAGATTCAAATTTCTTTTGTAGAGTATCAAAATTCCATAACAATGACTCATGATAGTAATGTTTTAAAATGGTAGTCATTGCATCCATACATTTATTCAAATTATTCTGCTAGGTTAACTGGACAAATCATATAGTTGAAAATTTTTATCATAGCATTAGCTAGTCAATGCAATATACATATATATATATATATATATTTCAAGTGTAAGGAAATTAATTTCTATTACTAATTAATACTCTATCTTAATTACCCACATTGAATTTTCATAGTTTTTTGCAATAAACTTCTTACTAAACCAAACATAGTCAAATGCAAGGAATAGAATACAATTTCATTTCATCAACAAATATGAGCTATGGTAGGGCTTATAGCCAAAAAAAAATTTTTTGCTATATGAAAAGGAGAGTATTTGATCAGTTCGATGAGTTTAATCATAAAATAACCTTCGATCAATTCAATAACCTTTGTTCAAAATAATCGATCGAATCAAATAGAAATAAAGGTAATCATGATTTTGATGTGGGCGGTCAATGCAGGAAACCCAGAAAATGGCCAAAGTTTGTGTTTAGATTAGGTTTGAATCTTCCATGCTCTCACACTAAAAAAAAAGTGGAGTGCAGGACTCAACAAACGTCGTTGTTTTGAAAAATCAAGCAATAAGTTACGAAGAAACCACAATATCCCCTTTAAATCAAACATTTGAATCCTTTATTAATTTATTAATATCAAAGAATTAAGCTTAGTATAATTATAAGATTTTTGGGGTTTCAACGAAGTTATTGAAAGAGAAAGATTTTGATTTTAATGTCTAATAGAAAGTGAAACATGTGATTTATTTTAAGTGACAAAATCACTCAAAATTTTCTTTCTCTGATTTAATAATCATAAGAAAAACCATGGTAAAATGTCAAATTTGGTCGAAAATTCAACACAATTACGTATACAAAGACTAAGATTTTTGTAGTCAAGCAATTTAATTTTATGTCATGTGTAACATTTTAATTTTATATTAAAAGATTTTAAAAATTTATTATGATATATAAATAGATATTTAAATTCAAACTTATGAAATATCTTTGTGATATTAGATTCAAGTTAACGTGCGTGTTTGACGATATTAACCTTCTTTTTTTGGTTTTTCGAGGGCTCATCTTTGCCCCACGTGGATGCCAATTTTCCTTAGCTTGTTGCTTAATGCGACCAGCTTGGCAGCCAATAATAATTCTTCATCTATTTATCATCCATTTATTAAATTTTTTTAAAAAAATAACAATCACGCACGAACCAATGATTCAAATGTTCGGATACTATTATTATGATTTTTTATGAGAAACATCCTTAGTATAATAATTGGAAACCTTGAATCCTAAACTTCTTTTTATGGAATATTGTAATTTAACTCAAATAATTTTATGAATCCAAGACTTAATTAATTCATTTAGTCATCCATAAAAAATGATATTGAATAAGTTTTAAATTAAAATTTTATTCTCAAATTGTGTCTATTTTATAAAAAAAAAAAAAAACTCAAATATATAGTTATATATATATATATATAATACATTAAGAAGTATCCCAAATTTTCATAATTAATTGTTTCATTAAAATCCAAAACTTGATGAATAGGTAGCTTAACGTGCCAAGTCAATTGGCTAATTGGCATATAGAATTGTAATACCCTAAGGACAGTCTTTCAAACTTCTAAATTGTTGTGTTGTAAAATTCAACTAGTTCACACTCTAAGTAATCGTGTATCAAAGGATATCAATGTGTAATTGACGGGAAAAGATTCTTTTTACTACTTCAAAATTAATGAAATTTTCATTACTCTATTTAAGAGTGATAAATACATTTTCAATTAAATAAATTTAATGATTTTAAATTGAATAAAAAATAAATAACAATTAATTTAAAAAGTAAAAATAATTTAAACAAATATTAATTTATAGATCATGTAGAATCTGCAATTCGTACTTTGCTAACATATGTGAAGCTATATTCCTTGATGGCAGAATTGGAATAAAGACATCTTAGAACTTCCTTTTTTCTTTAAATAATTTGAATCAACGAGTAAATCAATATATAATTTGATAAATTCAACATATAATTAAATCAAATTCACTTACGATAAAAATTGAACAAACATACGATTTCATAATTTCGAGACTTTTCTTACTATTAAACTAAAACCTAGGCAGAGATAAGTTAATGCACAAATTTTCATTCATTTTATCGATTTTATCCACTGATCAAAATCCCTAAAAGGTGTGCTTTTGCCAAGTTGAGCTTGGGGTTGATGATTTGCTATGTGTTATATACGTGCCCATGTCGCCATGAAAATGGTGAAATTACAGATCGTTGTGATCTCTCAAAGGCTAAAGCTTCAGGACAAGGGCATCTATGTTGGGTCATATGAAAAATGGGCTTGTAGAAATTATAACATTGGCAAATGCTATTACCATAGCTTAGTCCGAATTGGACTTATAATTGGCGGTTGTAAGCACTTTATATTACGTGTTAGAACTTTGAACATTGCAGCAACATCTCAGCTGCTTAGCTTAGATACACATAAAGCAAACTGCTTACATTACATTTGTTTCTCAGCTACTTCTTTTGCACTGGAACATGAACAGTTTATTTCAGACATAACAGGTTGTTTTTTTTTTAAATCTAACAAGTAAAGAACGTAGACCTATAAAACAGGCAGCAAGTTACAGATCTTGCTAATCTTTCTTCTATGTCAGTTGCCTTTTACATAGATTCAGATGGTTGGCCTTCAGATCATTTCTGGACCCAACTCTTCCTGTCAGAGACAATCAAGCCATTGAGACCATGTCAGGATTGACGGTAATCTGGTTCTGCCTCTGCCTGCTAACTGGGGTTTTCACAGCCAGACTTGAACCTCCAAAACAGAAATACTGACTCCTTGACCCCTTTTTGGTGGACCCTTGCTTCACAATTGTGTTTGGTTTTTCATCATCAAGACTTGGATTGGAACAAGATGGTCCAGCAACATCACTGCCAATGAAAGATGACTTCGAGAATGAACTCGAGCTCGATCTTCCAGGAATAGTTAACTGTGGCAAGGCTTGCATAACACCATGCATCATCCCTGAAGCATGTTTCTTCTTTGCAATTGGAGTGGACTGATTACTCCTTACAGAAAGTGTCCTCTTGTTGTTAGGAAGTGATGAGGGCTTTGAAAATCTCTGTCTAAGTGGGATTGGAGTTTCTTCCGAGCAACCCTCATTTATTGATTTCTTCAATCTTTCAGTCTTTTTCTCCTTCAACCGAGGCCAATGGATAACACTTTTCAATCGCTGCGCTGCATTGTTCGTAGAACCTGGTTTTTTACCAGCTGATGACTTTCTGTATTCATCAGCTGAGCCAAAATCTGTTGAGCATGAACGACTCCTTCCTCCACTACCAACATCACTGGCATCCGATGTGGTCTCAACACCTGTAGACGAGAAGATTTCTATGTCGGATATTCTGAAAGAAGTTCCAGGACTACTTCCATGACCTTGCATCTTTAAGTGTGAAGCAATTGCTCTTCTTGCAGTGTCATCCTGACAACCAAACATCCCTCCAGCTGAAATCAAGTGCCTAATAAGTATGTCTGATGAAGCAGAACGAGGCCTTTGTCTGAGAAGATCAAGTGGAGTCATTCCGTTGGCATCACGGATGTTCACATTAATTGATTGTGCAGACATCAGTAGTTCAACTAGATCAGTGTCAACATTCCCAATAATGGCCAAGTGAAGAGCAGTCTTACCATCATTGTTTTTAGCATTAATAATGTCTTCCATGTTGAAGTTTTTTGCGTGTACGACTTGCTTCATAAGATTAATCTGTCGATCCACTCTTCGAAAAGCAGGTGTTTGGAAACCGGACACTGCCAGATGGAGAAATGTTTCTCCAGCCTTGTTTCTTGCAGAGATCAACGAGGGAGACGCAAGAATCAAAGCGTCTACAACTGCTGCTTGGCCCCTGTAAGCAGCAATATGCAATGCTGTGTTGCCTTGATCATCCACGGAGTTGATGATATCAAAAGATTCAACAAGATTTTTAGCCACCTATAGAAATGAAATAATGCTTGCATTAGGAGGTAAAAGAATCTGTCGCCCTGGAAGATTAGATTCCTTTATTTCAAGTTACTAGGATGGCAAACCATTTGTCCTGAGTGCTAATTTAAAGAAGCAAAATTTTCCAACAAATCAAACAAGAACATGAGCAGAAGAGCAAGATAACAGAAGTCAAATCTTAAGCACTAGCATAGAATAGTTGGAGCCTAACCTCAACCTGGCCTCTGCCAGCAGCAGTATGTAATACAGTGGAACCACGTTTATCTCTATAAGCCAAAATATCTGTGTAGTCACTAAGAAGCTCCTTCAAAATCTTTAAATTTCCTCCTCTAGCAGCAGCATGAACAGCTCTGTTTGTTATCTCCCACTTATAAACAGAAGGAATGTCTCCAATGTGCTCCTTAGATCCTTCAGCTTTGGCTGTCAAAAACCTTGGTGACACGGCAAAGTCATATATAAGCCTGAAAAGCTCAGAGTTTTTACCCCTGGCAGCAGCATAAAGAATATCAGTAACACCATACTCCCCTTCTCCAAAAACAAGTAGAGGTTTTCTATCAAGAAGTTCTCGAACGAAATCCAAGTCTCCAGCAGAGGCAGCAGTGTATATAAGCCATCCACCGTAGCCAGCTTTAATGAGGGAATTCTTTGCTTTCTTTGATTCACATTCAATATAAAGCTTCCTTGCAACTTGAGAACGACACTTAGCAGCATCATCAAACTGCTCTTCATCATCCCAGACAGTCTCAAGGCGGCGGATCCTCCTCAAAGAGGTAAGCTTGATGAGGTGATTGCCATCTACCCGAAGAAGCTCCCGGACCAAGTCATAGTGGCCATTAGCTGCTGCCCAATCTATGGGAGATGCATACCACCATTGGTCTCCAGTGCTTTCCCAGCGAAGAGGGAAATATGTAGGAGGCATATTGAAGATGAATAACTAGAGAGACTGATGAAGTTTAACTACAAAGAAGAACAAATTCTACAGAAAACCAACATTTAGATCCTCCTAGGAGACAACTCAAAACAACACAACAAAAGGAATTTACGACGGCTATGTACTTACTGGCTATATGCATCTGAAACTCCAGCAGCTCAGGAGGCAGCTAGGATGAATAAAACAAGAAAAGTACTTTTCCAACAGCTCCCTAGGTAGAAACATGAGCAAGGCCCTACTGAATTCAATGCAATAAAGCTAGAGCTTGAAATAAAGCAAGAACAAATAGAGTTCCAAGTAAGAAAGGTTCAACTAACAACAATTATGAAAATAAAGCTTAATAAAAAGAAGGCAAAACCACATGGAAAAAATAAAGAGAAGTGTTAAGACTACCCAGAAAAGACCCAGAGAAGGTTAACTCCTATTAATTCAAGCTGTTGAACTACCTGCTTCAAAAACCATTAGAGCACCCAGAAAAGAGAATGAAGTAGAACAAAGCCTTTGAAGAGAAAGGAAATGGCAAGGGGAATAAGATAATTGTTTTCTTTCTAGTTAATGATAAATAATATCAACTAGATGATATGAGAAAGGAAATAGCAATCATCACTCTCGCAAAAGGTGAAGAGAAAGGAAATGGCAAGTGGAATAAGATAATTGTTTTCTTTCTAGTTAATGATAAAAAATATCAACTAGATGATATGAGAAAGGAAATAGCAATCATCACTCTCGCAAAAGGTGAAGACAGAAAAGATGGCATGCTCTTCAAGAAAGAGTTAATTGGAATAAAATACTTACAAGGCCAGAATCAAACTGTTCCAATAGAAGATAACAGTACATGGAAAAACCATACTTGGTTTCAACAGATTCTAAGGGTATTCAAAGTGGAGACCACATGGTAAAAAAAATAAGAATAAAAAAGTACTATAATTAGGTAAGATTCCTTTTTAACTGTGATGTTAATGATGGTGATGATAAGGGGTTTGACTGTTTTTATGCTTGATGATTTTATTTTTTACTGTGAATAGAGCTGTTGAGTTAATCGTCGAGGAGGTTGATAATTATATATGCTTATTTCAATCTAGATTTAGAGTAGTTGAAGGGAGATGATGTTATCTTCAAATGTTTAATGGTCCCATTAAGTTATGATTTATTGCTTTCTTGTTATATGATAATGTCAGGTGAGTTGAACAACTTCAGGAACTTAATTCTAAAGTTCTAAGCCAATATCTTGAAATTTTTGGGGTATATTTCAATAATGTCAGAGCTAATGTCAGCATGATTCAATCCTAATTAGTGACTTTTTATATTGTTTTTTTATATATTAAAGAGAAAATGATACTATATGTCAGGTGTTGAAACTTTCAGCTTCATATAAAACTTTATCTAGTCTGAAAATGTTACATCAGAAGAGTGGAAGGTTTCAAAAATGTCACCTCCTGGCCCTAAATCTTTGATTTCATCAACATCCACCGGCCTTTTTGTGTTATTAAATGTAGCCATTACTCTTAAATAGTTAACACCACCTCCATCCTATAACAAGGGTCATAGACCCAAAACTTGGAACATTTAATAAACAGGTCCATCTACCATTTCATTGTTATTGATTGATAGGACACTGTTCTTCACAATTTGTTGAAGTCCACGTTGGATAATCCCTATCTCATTGAAGTTAATTTTAAGGAAAAACCTTTTAACGAGTAAATCCGAGCACTTGCCTACTTGGACTAACATCATGCAAGATCAAACTCATGTTTGTAGCTTGAAACTAACATGTTTATGTTGTTCAATTGCTTCATATGCTTATGTTTAATACATGGCATTTGCTAGGTTTCTAGTGAATGAAGGAAAGTCAAGCCAATCTTCAATGGAATGTCCAGAAGTAGACTTGGGTTAATTTTTTTCTTTATTAAGTTTGGACTATGCTTGAAGGATAACAATTAAGATATGATGAGCTGTGCTATTACTGTTTTGGTAACCCCAAATCCAACTACTCACAAACTTGGATTACAAAGATCTACCAGCAAAGAAATGCCATGTGAGAACCAGCTTTACTTTTTTTTTTCCTTTTTTTTATGATTAGTAAGTACTAACACATTCAAAAGTCTGAAAATAGAGGGTAGGTTTCCTGCTTTATCAACAATAATGCATGTGATGTCAAATTTCAGTCCCTTGCTTTGTATCATTTTCTTGCTTCCCAATTTTTTTCTTTTCTGAAATTGTGTTCTTACAGGTCTCTTTCTTCACATGGGCAGAAAACATACAAATGGGTCTCAATCTCATATATTAGTGCGCAAGAGGGTTGGATTGCAAGGTATGCCACTACTCAACTCATGCCTAGACAAAATTCACCAAGATACTTGGACCACCCTACTCACAAAAACATCAAGAGAAAAGTAAAAGAATGTGATTATAATTTTTTATAAACTCCATTCAGAAGTACTTGGATATGTTGAAATTTTAGGGGTTTAATTATCAGAGAAACAACTCATTTATGGATAAAAAGAGTTTACTGTGATGAGGGACATTGAAGAGGGAAGAAGGGTAGGTTAGAGCATCAGGTTGGCAAAAAAATTGCCGCTATGGGAACTAGGTTATCTGCACACAATCTTTTCCAGTTCATGCAAAGGAGAAAAAGTTCTGGTTCAGTAGAGTAGTATTACACCAAGTGGGAACCACAAGCCTATTCAAGGGAACAGATGGACCACCAAAGTCCATGACATAAGGGTAGAAAAAGGAAAAAAGCAGATGCCTCAAAGATTAGACTCTGAACCCCACCATTGTTATGTTGGGTATGGGGGACAAGAGCAAGTGGCTTCCACTTGAAAGTTACAATGGCTATATCAAAGACTTGGGGCCAAACTGACTGATGCAACGAACATTTCAATTGCATTTGGAAAGTATCCGTACATGATAAATGCCATTGTTGTAGAAGAGACAGAGAGGAAGGCAACAACCAATTGATTCCAGTGTTTGCCATTTATCCTAGAGATGTAGGGAATATGTATATCATAGAGAGAAGATTTGATTCTACCAATTACGGGTTGAAATTGATATTATATCTAATCTTATTACTTGATTTTGTACATTGATAACGTACATTATCTCCATTATCTTGATTTTTAACTCATTACCATGGGAGAGTTCTGCAACAAGCAGCTATTCAACAATTCTTTATCATTGAATGTAGTAGACTATTACCTCTCACAAACAGCAACCCTAAGTTCTTAAGTAAAACGAAAAACCAAAAAGGAAAGCCGAACAAAGCTCTATTTAGAGATACAGAGATATGCTTAATTATTTGTGCTATGCCTTCAATTCGATTCCATCATGCAAATCAATCAACAGAGAGAATCGCAGAAGAGAGAATGCATCGTTCTTGACAAAGAAATAATGCCTCATAAAAATTACTTTTATACTACTATCAGTTTTTGGCCTTGACTGAATTGTTTTCTTTTATCCTTGCTCGGTTGTCCAACTTGACAAAGCGTTTAAGATCTTCATATGGGAGTGTTTCAATGTTTTTCCTCCTTAGCTCACTCAATGCTGGACGTTTATCAAGCAGATGCCAAAGCCAATCAGGGTACTCAGAATCAGGCATGATCTTCGGATCTGCTCCATCCTTGAGTATATTTGCACCAACTACTGTTGTGGACTTGACTTCTTTGCTGAGCATTGATGCTTTTGGCGCATCACTGGCTGCCCCTTTAGAGCCCTTCTTGACTTTGCCAGCCCCAGCAGCAAATGTTCGTTGTCCCACAGCAAATGCCTCCTTGGCAATAATGACACTTCTCCGTGATCTGCCTTGATTTAATGCCATGGCTTTATCGCTGTAAAATTTATGTCAATAATTGTAGAAACATCTAAAACAAATATGAAGAAACACTTAACTTATTGATTTATTTTTTACATCAATGGAGCAATAACATTAACAGGCACCAAAAGGATGCAAACCTGACTACAAGTAAGTATAACATTAACAAAACTAGAGATGCATCGACAGTAAAATCTACTTCTATGAAATGCTGCCTGTTGAACAAAAATTAAGAGTAGTAAAACCAAGTATGTAAGAGCATTTTTATGAGCTTTTTGCCCCTGAAAAAAGTTCTGCTATTCCTTTCCCTCCACAAAAACCCACAGATTTGATAAATCTCTGTTTTGTCTCCTTTCTTCTCTTGTGTTATGATTATGGAAAAAAATTTTGGATTCTCCAAACAATGAGTTGTGGGGGAATCTAATCACAACCACAATGGTTAAAACACTTTGTAGGTTCCAATTTTCACTCCAACTATTCACTTTACCCATACCCAAGTTGGACATATAGCAGACACATCAGATAGACATGGGTACAACTCTTGGACCCTCCAAAAATAAGGAAAAAACTTGTAAAGGCTGTACCCATGTTGGATGTGGAAATGCGTCTGATATATGTACCTGGTTTGGAAACATGGATAGGATCCACAAAGGACATTGCAGCTATCATTTCAACATTTTGAGGAAAGAAGCTTCTCAAAAAAGTTTGTATCCTAAAATAAGAGGGCCATTGTTCATTCATGAAACCAAATCTACTAGATGACGAAATTGAGAAAAAAAAAAGGAAGTCTTCTGTATTTCGTTTTCCTTAGTAGATAACAACTAAGAATGTCTGAATACTGTTTCCTATCACAGATGCTCAAGAAGATAAAAATGATATACAAAATAAATAACCGCGAAATTTCACCTTCATCATACTCAAAAATGTTAAAGAAATATCACCATTCTACTTTACTTTCCAAAGTGAAGACAAAACATGCAAATCCCACCACAGCTCATTCATAGCATGAAAGTGGCCGTATGTAGTGCCCAAGATAATACTATAGCATCCATCTTAAGAAGCACCATAGCCTATATACAAGGGGAGTAAAATTCACTCAAGCAAATTCATTATATTGGCATCTGCTTATGCAAATTTACATAGCCCATAGTATTCCTCATGTATCTTCATCATTCAAGTCCAAACTCCAAACACCATGGAAACAAATTTTAAGCTTTTTAAAGCAATTTGCAAGTGTCAAATCAAATATATACCATTGAACATCCAAACTAAATTATACAAACTTTACAAAACATAAATCAAAGACACTCATTCCACAGAATATCCAACGAATCCTAATAAGGTAATGTATTTTTTACTGGGTTTGGAATGAAAAGAAGGGAGATCAATTGGGTAATGTAAAAAAAGAGCCTTTTTGTTTCGTTTCTAGGAAATCAATGGGAAAAAATGGCAAAGAAAATTCCAGTTTTTTTTAACTGTGTTTCAGAGGTTAATCAGTAACTAAACGGTGCAATGTCAACGAAGAATAAGCTAAAAGATGTTACCTTTCCTGAAAATTCGTAAAGTTCAATTCTTGCGCCTCCCCTTACCGGATTCAGATTTAGGGATTTAGGGTTTTTGAGACCAAGCTGAAATAAGAGAGATTGAAGTGGAAGAAGAAAGGGAGTTTCTTTGACTGGACTAGAGTCATTCTTTGGGCTTGTTTGGGCTCATTGTAGTTGACTTTAAAAATGAAGATGGTCCAATTTTAATGGGCTGCTGCGAAAATTTTGACCTTTTTAGGCTTGATATAGCCAAATCCGTCCGACAATAAAAAATATTATAATTTCGAATTCAAATTTCAATCGTTATAAAAAATTAAAAAATTTATTTATTATTCCATACGATTTAAATCTTTCTTTTTTTCAAATAAATAATAATAATAAAAATTAAAGAATTCGTTACAATATTTTAATTTAGTTGATCAAAGCTAAAAGTTTTTCTAAAGATTTATAATAATATTCTTGTAAAACAATTTTATTCTCAAAGGCTTTAATTAATTTTTTTGAGTGATTATGTTATGAAAATCAACATTTTGATTCTTTTATTAATTAAAAAAATTTTTGAAACAAATTAAAAATAATACTTAATTTGATGAAAGAAATATATAACAATAGCTTAGATCCCAACAATTCGTGGTTGCATACATTTTAGTTCAGTTGCTATTATCTTTAAGCAAAAGCCCAACCCATCTTAGTTTTCCCCTTTCCCAAGTTTTGAAACTGCATAAATCTTTTAAAAAAAGTTTCAAATTCAATTTTTAATCATAATAAAAATAAAAAAAATTTACCTTATGTATCATGTGGTTTAAATCTCATTCATTAATAAAAAATAAGAACAATAAATTAAAAAATATGTGATAATATTTTAATTTAATTGATACAATTTACAAGTCTTATTAAAGGTTTATAGTATAATCTTGTAAAATAATTTTATTCTCAAAGGTTTTAATTAGTTTTTTTTTATTAGTGATTATGTTATGAAAATCAACATTTTGATTATTTATTTGATTAAAAAAATAAAATTTAAAACAAATAAAAAATGAAATTTAATTTGATAAATGAAATACTTAATAATTGCTTAAATCTCAACCATTAGTGGTAGAATTCAATTTGGTTAAATTGTTATTATCTTTCAAAAAAAGGGTAAATTTCATTCAGCTTGTTGAGTTTTAAGTAAAATTCAACAAAATTTATTAGTTTATAAAGTAGACAATCCACCTCAATTTTTTTAGAATAAATAGATCATTTCATATTAAAAATCTCATTTAAAGACTATTTTATCCTTAAAAATAAATATTTTCAAATTCTCACATAAAATAATATTTTATAATAATATATATTTTAAGCTATATCAAATATGTTAATAATAAAAAAAATTAGATACAACATATAAAAACAAAACTTATAATTATAGGTATACTAATATATAAATATATACAATAGAACAAATATATTAAGCATGTAATATTATTTTAATACGTAACAATTTAAAAATAAATACATGAAAGATATAATATAAAACTAGTTGGTTGAAAAAAAAAAAAGAAAATGATCATAATTGAATAGTTATTAATTTATTTTTAATTATTATAATATTCGTATATTAACTTAATCTACAGCTTAATATAGTAATAACAAATTTATTCATTTTAAGTTAAAAATAATTTATAATAAGTACACTTAAGTTAAAAAATTGTAATTTTTAAATGCAAATAATTTTGTTATATATATTTAATAGATACATAAAATAAATAATATATATGAATACAATAAGTTTTGAGGGATAATTTTAAAATTATTAACAAATTGAGGTGAATTATTTATTTCTTTAAATTAATATATTTGTGTTGAATTATTCTCGGAATTCTTAAGAAAAGCCCAGCCCATTTAAGTTTCCCCTTTTCCCAATAAATACAATAAGTTTGCAAGTTTGGTAACCGCATAAACCCTAACAAAACCCCGAATTACTAAATAAAAATAAAAAACTCGAGTAGGCTAAATCTTTTATTGTTTCACGATAAATGATTGTGAAAAAAATATTTATATTTTTTGAATTGAAAGAATTTTTTATTATTTAGATAAATTAATAAAAAATGTTTTTTATTTAATTTTTTTTGAAAAAACTATTTTTTGTTATTTAAAAATATTTAAATTATTATTAATATTATTCAAACCTAATTATATTTTAATAATAATACTTAAATTAAATGTTATGTTAACATAAAAATACCTTTTATATTATTTATTAATATATTATTATAATATTTATTAGTATATTATTTATTTATAAATAAAATTATACATAGATAAATAAATTTACTGATAATTTTTTTTAAATATCTTTTTTTTAATGAGTAAAAAAAAATTTTATTGATCGATAAGTAATTTTTTGTTAATCTACTAATTTTTTATTAAACAAATATCTAAAGATATAAAATTTATTTTCTAAAAATTATTTTCGCGAAACATGCAAATTCTAAAAGCCCCACACCAAGTGAAAAGAAGAAATTCACAAAATGGGAAGCAACCAAGCCGCAGTCACTTTCTTAACCAACCTCGCACGCACCGCGTTGGGTCTCAGCGCCGCCACGACTGTCCTCAACGCCTCCATGTACACCGTGGACGGCAGGCAAAGAGCGGTGATATTTGACCGTGTGAGGGGAGTATTGGATAAAACGACCGATGAAGGAACCCACCTTTTGATCCCATGGCTCCAGAAGCCTTTTACCTATGATATCCGCATGAAGCCCCAAACTTTCTCATCTGTTTCTGGAACTATGGATTATCCAGATGGTTAATCTTACTCTTCGAGTTCTTTCTAGACCTAAGGTAATCTATAAAAATCGTTAAATGGCTTTGTTTTGATTTCTGGGTTTCACTTTTTGTTTTTTGTTTGGTGAAGAACTAAAGACCTCACAGAAGCAGTAACATATACCATTGATCGAATCACAACACTCCCCTTGCACGGTCAAATTTTACCGCTCAACGATGAGTTCTCGCATTCCTAACCCATGTTTGAATAAATATTAATAAAATTTTTTTTAATGACCTCTTATATACCTTATAATTAAAATTAATAAAAAAATTTTTTAATAATTACTGTTTGAATAAATAATGAAAAATAATTATTATAATAAAATTTTTTAATTATAATATTTCATTACTTGTAATTTTAGAGTATTTTTCTTCAAAAATACTCAAATCATTGTTTCATCTTTTTGTTTATCCATCTATACAACAAAATATTAACAATAATTATTATTATCATAAAAATAAATACACAAACACTTATATAAAAGAAAATAATATAAAAATAAAATTAAATTAGAGAATTTTGAAACATGAGGCATTTAACAATAAATCATACATACTACAAATAATAATATTAATATTTATCAATTACTCACATATATTAATTATTATAATACTAATATTTACTAATTAAGTTTGTGTGAAAAATATATTAATATGTTTATAATCATAATCAAGTTAATTGTGTCCCAATGAAACATCTCTTTTTTCCTACTTTTTTTTCTATAATGTCTTAAAATTGTTGACATTTCAAATTATAATATACTACATATAAAAATAAAAAAATTTTAAGCTAATTTAATATCTTATAAACTTAAAAAATATATCTATTCATATTCAATCATTTATCAAAATTAAATAATTATAAATTATAAAAAAAATTTATATTAAAAAAGACATGTAAAAATTACTTTAAAAAAAAAAGATAACTTTGAAAACTTAAGAAAGGGTTAAGTTTTTTTTTAAGCTTTGATGTTAATAAAAAGATAAATATAATAATCTTTTTATGAAAATAAAATTTTTTTAATTTTCCTTTCCTTAAAATTTTCCATAAATTGGGTATTAAAAAAGAAAATACTATAAGAAAAACTAATCTTTGTTTTAAATTAAAAATTTATCAAAAAAAAATTATGTTTTCATTATTTTTCTTTATTTTCCTTTTCTTTTCTTCGCTTCCCCGATCCAAACATACTGTAAAAGTGTGCTTTAGCCAACTTGAGAGTGGGGTTGAGGACTTGCTTTGTGCTATATATGAGCCCATATCGCCATGTAAATGGTGAAATTACAGCTCGTTGTCAACTCTCAAAGGCTCAGGGCAAGGGCATCTATGTTGGGTCATATGAAAGATGGGCTTGTAGAAATTATAACATTGGCAAATGCTATTACCATAGCTTTGTCCAAATTGGACTTATGGTTCGCTGTTGTAAGCACTGATCCATAGCTCTTTGGCCCAAAAGTCTTTGGACTGGGGTAAATACATAGCCCTTAGAAATTGTCATGTATCTTCATGATTCAAGTCCAAACTCCAAACACCATGGAAACGGAATTTAAGCTTCTTAAAGCAATTTGCGAAATATATACTGTTGAACATCCAAAGTAAATTATACAAACTTTACAAAACATAAATCAAAGAAGCACTCATTACACAGAATATCTAACCAATCCTAATAAGGTATTGCATTTTCTTACTGGGTTTGGAGTGAAAAGAAGGGAGGTCAATTGGGTAATGTAAAAATGAGCTTTTTGTTTGGTTTCTAGGAAATCAATGAAAAAAATGGCAAAGAAAATTCCAGTTTTTTTAGCAGTTAATCAGTAACTAAACGATGCAATGTCAACGAAGAATAAGCTAAAAGATGTTACCTTTCCTGAAAATTCGTAAAGTTCAATTCTTGCGCCTCCTTTTACCGGGATTCAGATTTAAGGATTTAGGGTTTTTGAGACCAAGCTGAAATGAGAGAGATTAGAGTGGAAGGGGAAGGGGAGTTTCTTTGACTGGACTGGAGTGATACTTTGGGCTTGTTTGGGCTCATCCTGGTTGACTTTAAACTTGAAGATGATCCAGTATTAATGGGCCGATTTGAAAATTTGCTATGATTTAGGCTCGATATGACTGAGTCTTTGATCGAGTCCTTAATTTCGAATTTAAATATCAATCATAATAAAAAATTAAAAAATTTATCCTATGTTTCATATGATTTTAATCTCCCCTTCCTTAAATAAAAATTAATAACAATAAATTAAAAAGTGCACGACAATATTTTAATTTAATTGATATAATTTAAAAGTTTTCTTAAAAGTTTATAATAATAATCCTATAAAATAATTTTATTTTCAAAGGCTTTAATTAGTTTTTTTGTGAGTGATTATGTTATGAAAATCAACATTTTGATTCTTTTATTTGATTAAAAATAAAAATTTAAACAAATAAAAAATGACAGTTAATTTGATAAAGAAAGTATATATTAATAGCTTAAATCTCATCCATGAATGTTTGCATACAATTTAGTTCAATTGCTATCATGTTTAAGAAAATGCCCAACCCATTTTAGTTTTCCCCTTTCCCAAGTTTTGTAACTACATAAACCCTAATAAAGTCTTTAAAAATTTTCGAATTCAAATTTCATTCGTAAGAAAAAATCATAAAATTTATCTTATATATCATGTGGTTTAAATCTCTCATTCTTTAAATAAATGATAATAACAAAAAATTAAGAAAATGAACGATAATATTTTAATTTAATTGATACACTTTAAAAGTTTTACTAAAGGTTTATAATAATAATAATCTTGTAAAATAATTTTATTCTCAAAGGTTTTAATTAGTTTTTTTTTAGTGATTATGTTATGAAAATCAACATTGTGATTCTTTTATTTGATTAAAAAACAAAATTTGAAACAAATAAAATATGAAATTTAATTTAATAAAGGAAATATATAATAATTGCTTAAATCTCAACTATTAGTGGTTGCATACAATTTAGTTAAGTTGTTATTATCTTTAAGAAAATGATAAATTTCATTCAGGTCCTTAAGTTTTAAATAAAATTCAACAAAAATTTATTAGTTTGGAAAGTAGATAATCCACCTCAAATTTTTTAAGACAATTAGATCCTTCCATATTAAAAATTTCATTTGAAGACTATTTTACCTTTAAAAAATAAATATCCTTGATGCTCAAATAAAATAATATTTTATAATATATTTTTTATTTGTTTCAAAATATATCAAATCTATTAATAATAAAAAATTTAGATACAACATATAAAATCAAAACTTACAATTATAAGTATACTAATATATAAATATATATATATATAATAAAACAAATATATTAAGCATGTAATATTATTTTGATATGTAACAATTTAAAAAAAAATACATGAAGGATACAATATAAAAAAGGATGGGTGAGAAAAAAGAAAATGGTCATAATTGAATATTTATCAAATTGGTTTTAATTATTATAATATTCATATATATCTTAAGCTTAAATCTACATGTTTGTGACAATATAGTAATGATAAATTTATTCATTTTAAGTTAAAAATAATTTATAATAAGTAAACTTAGATTAAAAAATTATAATTTTTAAATACAAATAATTTTGTTATTATATATTTAATAGATATATAAAATAAATAATATATATAAAAAAATAAAATTTGAGGGATATTTTTATAATTATTAACAGATTGAGATGAATCATTTATTTTTTTTAAATTATTACACTTATGTTGAATTATTCTCAAATGAAAAGATTTCGACAAATTTTATCCTTGAGAAAAGCCTTAGCCTATTTTAGTTTTCCCCTTTCCCAAGTTTTTCTAAATTTGGTAAGTGGTAACTGCATATACCCTAACAAAACCCTGAATTTGCAAATAAAAACCCAAAAACCCAGCAGACCAAGAGCCACAGAAGCAAGTGAAAACAAGAAATTCAGAAAAATGGCAAGCAACCAAGCCGCAGTCACTTTGTTAACCAACCTCGCACGCGTTGCGTTGGGTCTCGGGGCTGCTACTACTGTCCTCAACGCCTCCATGTACACCGTGGACGGTGGCCAAAGAGCGGTCATCTTTGACCGTGTAAGGGGGGTTTTGGATAAAACGGCCGATGAAGGAACCCACCTTTTGGTCCCATGGCTCCAGAAGCCTTTCATCTATGATATCCGCATGAAGCCCCACACTTTCTCATCTGTTTCTGGAACTAAAGATCTCCAGATGGTTAATCTTACTCTTCGAGTGCTTTCTAGACCTAAGGTAATCTAAAAAAACGTTAAATGGCTTTGCTTTGATTTCTGGGTTTTATTTTTTGTTTTTTGTTTGGTAAAGAACTAAAGAAATTTGATTGGGACATTGTGTTTTTTGGATGATTTTATGAAATGGGTTGACGAAGGTTCAGGGTTTTGTTTTTTGCTTGTTAAGAAATGAAAAGTCTTGTTCATGATATCAATGGAATCAAAGTACTTCTACTTTCATTGTAGTTATTCTTGTGTAATTATGCTTCACAGATTTAGTGTACTCTTTAAACATTAATGTTTGATTGGTGGTATTGTTTGCAAAAGGTGGATAACCTTCCTGAAATCTATCAACACCTTGGTCTAGAGTATGATGAGAAGGTGCTTCCCTCCATTGGCAATGAGGTCTTGAAAGCTGTGGTTGCACAGTTCAATGCTGATCAGCTTCTCACTGAGCGTCCCAAAGTGTCAGCACTCGTCCGAGATTCACTGACAGAGCGTGCAAGGGACTTTAACATTGAGCTAGATGATGTGGCAATTACACATTTGTCATATGGCACTGAATTCTCGAAAGCAGTGGAGCAGAAGCAGGTGGCACAGCAGGAGGCAGAAAGGTCGAAGTACATTGTGGCGAAGGCAGACCAGGAGATGAGAGCTGCTATCATCCGGGCAGAAGGTGAAAGTGAAGCTGCAAAGTTAATTTCTGAAGCAACTTCGAAGGCTGGTATGGGTCTGATTGAGCTAAGGAGGATTGAGGCATCAAGGGAAATTGCTGCAACTCTTGCTAGGTCACCTAATGTGACATACGTGCCTGATGGAGACAACATGCTTTGGGCTATAAATCAATCTAGGCCATGATGATTGTTTGAATGATGGTAATTTCCATTACCTCTATATGTTGCATTCATTAGCAGTCATTATTACTTCCTTATCATGTTGGTGCCAATTTTTTGGCAGAAAATGAATAATGTTTTCCTTGTGTTAAGCAAGGAGATTGTTTTCTTTTATCTTTTTTGGGGGAATTGTGAAATTTTTTGTTTGCTACACATATTGCTGATTTGATTGAAATCAGTAAGGGACATTTAGGTTTTCAATAAAAGGACTGTTATTCCTTATCTTTGTTGAGATGGTTTCCCATCCTTCCTTACTTCAGCAATGTTATTATTCATGATGCAGACACAGGGTGAAATGATGTCTAATCAATGTTTTATGTGGTATAGTTGATTTAGCTTTTATCAGGAAAAAAAGTTATAAATCAAAAAAATTATTATATTATAATATGTTGATAAGTTATGCACGATTTTTTTTTATTTTTATCAAATTTTATATAATTTTATTAAAATTTTAAATCGATTTTTTTTTTTATTTTGTTTTATAACTTTCGTGGCAGTTCAAAATTGTCAAATAAAATTCCTTTTTAGGTGAGAGGAGGAAGGAATTTGATTTATATTTTTCCTTTTGGTTTCACATTTTTTAATTTATTCTTTTCTTTAATCAGAAGAGGAAGCCAAAAATTGCATTAATTTTTACAAGTTCTATCAAAATTTTACTATTTTATTTTTTTATCATTTTGAGTAGATAAATAAACCTATTTGAAAGAAAATGCAATTCGGTTCTTTTACAATAATAATCTGATAGCCTGATAGGAATGCTTTGACAAATGTCTATGGTCTCACCCCATAAGTATGGGTCATGGGGTTGAAAATACAGTTTAAATGGATCAGATTAAACCTGTCAACTAGCCGGATAACCCGTCAAGTCCATGATTTTTGGCTAGGCCTTAAACGACGTTAAGGACATTTTTTGAATTCAAACTTACACCACTTAGACCCGACAATTTATATATGAATAGTACAAAATACAATTTTTTTATTTTTTATTAAATATACGATTTTATTAAAATTTTAAATTAGATTATTTTTTTACTTTTTTAATAGTTTTCGTGGTGGTTTAAAATTGTCAAATAAAAATCCTTTTTAGGTGAGAGGAGGAAGGAATTTGATTCTTCAATTTTTGATTTATTTTTTACTTTTGGTGAGACATTTTTTAATTTTTTGGTTTCTTTAATCAGAAGAGGAAGCCAAGAATTGCATTATTATTTACAAGTTTTAAAAACATTTTACTATTTTATTTTTTATTATTTTGAGTAGATAAATAAACCAATTTGAAAGAAAATGCAAGTTGGTTCCTTTTACAATAATCTTCTGATAGGAATGGCTTTGAAAAATGTCTATGGTCTCACCCCATTTGTATGGGTCATGGGGTGGGTTGGACATGAAAACACTGTTTAAATGGATCACATTAAACCTGTCAACTAGCCCGATAACCCGTCAAGTCCATGATTTTTGGCCCGGCCTAGAACAAGCTTGAGGACTTTTTTGAGTTCAAACTTACACCACTTAGACCCGACGATTTATATATGAATACTACAAAATATTAAGTTCTTGTATCTTATTTTATATAAAAATTTTATATTACAATTCTTATGAAAATTTCATATTACAATTTTTATAGACAAAAAAACATAAAATGCTTTGTTTTTTATTTTTTTAAACTTATACATAATAATTATTAAAATTTTAAATTATATTTTTTATGATATTCATATTATTAAAATTATTATTAAAACTTTAAGAACTGAAGAGAAAAAATTGCAATGAAACATGAAACAGTAGAGGAAAGCAACCGAATAAAAATTCATTACAAAAAGGAGGAAAAACTGTTTCAGAGAAAAATGCATACCGGGTAAAAATAGAAAAACCACAATCCGGCAAAAATGGTCACTGTGTGTCCCATACAATTCAATTATTCCCATGACATCAATTCTAAATTTGGTAAGGTGAAGAAAAAGGCCAAAGTCCAGGATCAAATGAGTTGGTGCACCAAAATCACTCACTTAGCAGAAGCCATGTGCCGGATCAAGTCAACCACACGGGAACTGCAACACAAAAATAACCATCAAGACAAGCAGCAAAGGAGAAGTATACGCAAGTTTGGTTGAAGGTAAATGTATAATTTACCTGTAACCCCACTCATTGTCATACCATGCAACAATCTTAACAAAGTTATCATTCAAAGCAATTCCAGCCTTGGCATCAAAAATGCTTGACCTGTTAAAACACAATAGAATGTAAGGTTCCAAATCCAATTGCATTATCTGAGTACCCGCAGAAACAAAACGGTGCAACAAGCCAGAAAATCAACATTATAACAGGCATTCAGAATGAAGTTTCGCACCTGCAGTCTCCAACAAAGTCAGTTGAGACCAAATCTTCTTCTACATAACCAAGAATTCCCTTCAAGTTGGTTTCAGATTCATGCCTTCATAAAAAGAGGGACAGAAAAGAATCTTAAGGACAACTTAGGCATGCATCTTAAAGTTCAATATATCATTTTAAGATAAAAACATTCTAATCCTTACTTGACAGCAGCCTTAATATCTTCATAAGAAGCCTTCTTCTCAAGTCTCACCGTGAGGTCAACCACAGAGACATCAACAGTGGGAACACGGAAAGCCATTCCAGTCAGCTTGCCATTCAATGATGGCAACACTTTGCCAACAGCCTATACAATTACAAGATGACCACCACAATCAACCATGAAACTTCAATTCCAACAACTATTTGACAATAATAAAGACAGCATGCTTATAACCACTCATATATTTGAAGGTAAAGTGCAGGAAATAGCATTTGAAAATCTAAAGATGGATATATACCTTGGCAGCTCCAGTGCTGCTGGGAATGATATTGAAGGAAGCAGCTCTGCCACCTCTCCAGTCCTTCATTGATGGGCCATCAACAGTCTTTTGGGTAGCTGAATCAGAAAGATGGGTCAGTCAACAATACACAAATGACTGGAGCAAGTAGAAATAAAACACCATAGTTGCTTACCAGTAATCGAATGGACAGTGGTCATAAGACCCTCAACAATGCCAAATTTGTCGTGGATGACCTGCCACCATGTTTAAGGTCCGTTATTACTTTGAAGATAAAAGTATTAGCCCAATGCTTCAAACAAATAAAATAGGAATCATTATTACCTTAGCCAATGGAGCAAGGCAGTTGGTAGTGCAGCTAGCATTGGAGACAATGTCAAGGTCAGGCTTGTAATCCTTCTCATTGACACCCACAACAAACATTGGGGCATCCTTACTGGGAGCAGAAATGATCACTTTCTTTGCACCACCCTAAAAGGCGAAAAAGCATAACCCAGATAAGGATAACAAGCACAACATGAAAATAAGGCAAAAAAAAAAAAAGTTCCAAACATACAACGTTCCCTGTGTCTTGATAAACAAAAGGATGTTAATTCCAATAAATTTTCTTCTTCTATGGCCCTAAAATAAACATATGATCAAATTATTATCACGAACCTTTAAGTGAGCAGCAGCCTTGTCCTTGTCTGTGAAAACACCGGTAGACTCTACGACATACTCAGCTCCAGTCTCACCCCACGGGATTTCCTCGGGGTTTCTAACGTCAATCAAAGCTAATCAATAAAATAGTTTTTCCTACATGGTAAAACTCACCAATGCTCCTCAAGTCAACTACAAAATCTCTTTCAAAAGAAAACAAAAACAATACCTGATGCCGAAAACGGTGACAGCCTTTTCCCCAAAGAGAAGAGTCTTTGAGTCCTTCACCTTAAGCTCATGGTGCTTCCATTGACCGTGAACACTGTCGTACTTAAACATATAGGTCTGTACAAACAAAATTATCAAATCACATCCATAATCAAATCATTAAGTAACTAATCAAAATGATTATTCACTTTTCACTCATTCCTTTCAAATTAGACACAAGATTCACTCACTCACTAAAAACCAAGCAGAACCTATCAGTTCATCAAATATGTCTGATAAATCTATCTGTCAATAAATCTGTTATTAGTTAAAATTTTAAATTATTTCCACTTAAAACACATCATGTTCTGTTTGGTAAGTGAGAAAGTGTAGGAATCAGATCAAGAAAAATAAATTCGAGTAATTCAAAGGAACGGAAAAATACAGAAAAAAAAAAAAAGAAAAATACGAAGGAATATACAAATGTAAGTATTACGAACCATGTAGTCAGTGGTGATGAACGGGTCGTTAACAGCAACGAGCTCAATATCTTCGCTTTGAAGAGCAACTCTCGCAACCAAACGCCCGATCCTTCCAAATCCTTCACCAAACACCAGATAGAAATCAGATACATAGTTTAAAAAAATTAAAAAAAATCTTTAAAAAAAAGAATATAACTACCGTTGATTCCGATCTTGATCTTTCCCATGATGGAAAACAAAAAACAAATCTCTAACAAAGACGACGGTGATGCAGTTGAGAGAGATCGGCGAGTGAAGCTTTGCGAGTGATGGAGAGAGTGGGGCTTATATATAAGAGTGAGTGTCCGTGACGTAAACGGAGGGAGGCGCAGTTGACGGAAATTTCGGGAGGAAAGTGGGGACCACGAATTGTGATGTGAGTATCGTGGCCGTTGATTCCTAGGTCGGTCACGTAATCGTTAGTTGAGGATTTCACGGATAATGAGAAGATGCGGGTTGGAAATGGTAAAATTTTGAAAAAGAAAATCTTGTTTCTTTTTTATTTTTTATTTTTAATTTAAAAACTTCTAATTTGATTTTTCTTTTTTATCTAGAAATTTCTGAATATTTCTTTGAAAAAAAATTAAAATTTCAATTTCGAACAGATTTTGACAAAATTATCGAATAAATAACATAGTTATCATGCTGCATATGCCTATGATGTGATTAAAAAAATTTCATGGAAATAATATGTCCAAGGAGATAGGTTAAGTCCCGTTTGTTGGCTATGACTAAGTGGCGAATATAAAGCAACCTTGGAGAATATGCTTTTGCAAGTTGCAACATCATATTAAGATCATGACCTTGCCATTAAGGTTGTTTGCATGGGAGATGTCTAAATTTTGACTTATGAATTTGGTTAATTAAACGTTAATTGGTTTTTTTTTTTTTTTTTGAGTTATTGGGCTTTGGCAGAATGTAAATGTCAATGCTAAGGAATTGCCAAAGTCCAAATGGACTTGAGAGGAAACAGTCCTTGTTAATAGGGTGAGAAAAAAATTAAAAAGAATTTAAAATTATAATACTTAATTTGATTTGAATTACTTTTTTTAATTTGATTCAAATTAAAATTGAATATTAAATATAAATTTTAAATTTTAAATTTTAATTAGATTTTGGATTGAGATTATAAAAAACTAAAAAAAAAAGTAAATCAAATTATATATTTTTGTTAGTTTTTATATATGTTTTAAATTTTTATAAAATAAAAATAATTGTTTTATATATAAATTTATTTAAATATACTAAAAACCTTATTAAAATATATATAAAATAAAAAAATTAAAAATTAATAAATCAAATTAAACTAATAAAATTCTATTCAAATTAGATCAATTTAAAACAAAAATCGATTTAGATTCGAATTAAATTTTAAAAATTTAAAATACTATACATTATCAAAAAAAATCGAACCAAATCCTATTTGAACCATTATCACCTCTACTTGTAAAGTATTATCTTTTAAAGATGAGTCATATACGAAGTACATTGGTGAGGTGAATTCTCATAGATTATTGTTGCTCTGACATCAAAACAAAGACAAAATTGATGGGAGGACATTCCGGATGCATCGAAGAAAGAAGAATAGATGGAGAATAAGAGCAACAATCGATTTAGAATATAAATTTTCTTCAAGCTTTGCAACAAGAAGATCCTATGAACAATAACAGATTTACTCCAAATCCATCATTGTATAAGATGAACACCTACTATGTTTCCCTGGCTACCTCAGAGCAGTCGCCATCCAGATTCCAAACCATTCTTCCTTGTTCTGCTTGCCAGTATTGCTTCTCCTCATTCGAAAGGTTAGCATGACTTCTGACAGTGACAAAGAAGAACAATGCCATAACACACGGAACCCCTTTCAGCCAGAAAGCATTATGAACATCTGCTTCATGTCCTCCGACCACAAAACAGCCTGTTTTAATAATTGTTTATTCAACAGAATCCGTGATATGATATACCTGGTAACTCTTTTTTTTTTTTTTTCAGCATCCTTTGTTCCTGCCAACCAACCTAAATTCTTCACAAGATCAAAAGAAGTGACCCCTCCAAACAAAAGTTCACTTCATGAACCAATAAAGAAGGAATACACATCATGATAGCAATGAGAAGCTGCATAAGATGCAACAATTATGTTAAACTACACTGCCAGGGCATCCATGCACGTATTTGACAGCCACCTGCTAGGTTCACATTGAGCAGAAGTCTTGTCCACAGTCTGCAGCCAAAGAGAATAGAACATCCTCTAAGCTAGCCATAAAAACAAAACTGATAACTCGTCTCTCGATGAAAGATGGCACGCTTAGAAGAAGAAGCACCCATTACTTCTGGCTTCTCTTCATGATTAAAGATCTGCTTCCAACAATTAAAACAAAGCAAATCTAGTGTAAATGTTTCCTCATAATCACAGTCCTTAAAACAGCAGCCACAACGAATACAGCGTGCTATGCAGAGAATGCAAGCCCTGCACAACTGAGCAGCATGATGTGTTCTTCTGCAACTCTCTGATGGGCAATCATAAACTAGCTTCACTTTCTGACATTTGGGGCAAACCTCGATGTCAATGGCCCTATCATCATCACACATGAGATGCAACTGTCCTTGACGAAAAAATTGTGGTTTTTGCTCTCTCAATTGTATCGAGCTATCTACACTAAGTAAGAACTTCAACTCTTTGAATTGCTCCTCCGTTACACCAAAGCGTCCACCTATTCTTAAGTGTTTTATTCCTGGGGACCCAGCAGACTTGAAGGCTCTTAAATTGAACAAAATGCCCTCAACACTGAGTTTTGTACATTCTGGCACACTTAGCTGCATAGAAAAGGCGAAGATTGGTTAACTTGCTATAACTTCAGAGAGAACAAAATCTGTTTCAAATCCAGCTTTAATAAATTCAAGCAACAAATATTCATAGAGATTAAAGTATGGCTTTTTTGCTAACAATCAATTTCAATAAAGGACAATTGAGCAAAAATTGACACCAATATAGAAACTTTTGAAGCAAAAAGAGCAGCATATAACCCATTTTAAGTTTTAACTGCAATAAGAGACATCACCTCAATTATACCATAATCTTATCACCATTGAAATCCTAAAGTGCCTTAAAATTTACAAAGACCATTCAATCAAATATTTTATCCAGTGAATGCTATCAAAACCAAATGCATCAGTGCCCGTGGTAGACTTAATCAACTTCTTTGGAATTTGAAAGTATCCTATAAACTTACAACCTTAAAATGGCATGCATATTATACTTAGCTATACATTAAAAGAAGGAGAAACAGTATACAATTGGTAAGTGCATAACAATTACACGATGCGAGGCAACTAGTACATGACAAAGGAGGGAAAACAACATTAAAGCAATTAAAAGAAACAATTTTGTCACTGATAGTCCTTAATATATATAATAAATTACTGTATAAGAATTAAACATATTGACTCAAGAACAGCTACTTGCAGTGCAAACACTAACCTTAGTGAGCCTGGGATTGTTTTCAAGCACACTCTTCAAGCCATCATCAGTGATCTTTACACACCCCACCAGACTCAAGCAGTCAAGAGTGCCTTGAGCCCTGCTAGTTAATTTCAGAAGAGAATCATCAGTAATCCTCTTACTCAATGAATGTTCAATATTGATGCTCCTCCACAGAAGAGGATCACTTCTAACCGTATCCCTCAAAGACCTACAGACCATTTCAACTGCAAGGAGGTCCTTAACACCAAGATAACCAAGAGCAAAAAACAAAGCATCATTTGGAGTAGCTCTTTCACTATCATCACAAAAAACTCTCTTGCAATCCTCCAATCCTTTACCTTCTTCATTGATTACAAAACCTCCATTGGAAAGTCTATTACCAATCCCAAATCTATTAAAATCATCATCCGGGATTGATGTTTCGTTGATTTTGAAGCTACCTTCCTTCTGTTGAAAACTCATGGTACCATTCCAAACCCAATTCACACCCTTGAAGAAAGATGATTGATCACCAATCATTTTATCAACATCTTCTGAACCAAATCCATAAAAGCCAGAGTTATCTTCTTCCTGTTGGAAACTCATGGTGCCATTCCAAACCCAATTTAAACCATTAAAAAAATTTTGTTGATCAGCAATATTCTTTTCATCACCATCATGTATACCAAGCACACAGAAATCTGACCCCCAATCATTCTCAAAATCCTTAATCCAACCTGTGATTGCTGCAGTTAAAGTAGACCTTATTTCCATTCCAAATGGATCTGCAGGCAATCTATCAAGAATATCATCATCAACAGCCTCAGAAGAGACTTTTGATTCACCTTGGCCACTTTCACTAAAATGGGATTTTTCCAAATCCCAATTGCAACTCCAAAAACTCCAAGAATTCCCAAAATCATCCCAATTCAAAGCCATTTTTTTTTATTCTTCAATCACCAACCAAACAAAATTAACCCTTTATCAAGGACCCTAAACTCAGACAAGAATTGAAAGAAATAACATGATTCAACAACCAATAGAAGTGTAATCAAAATACAAGAAAACCCATTATTTCAGGTGACAAAACAAGACTAAAAAAAAACAAAGACTCCAGAAATTCTAGAATTTCTTGTAAAAACCTAATCAAAGGAACCTAATTTAGGCTGTGAAAAATATCTTTTTTTTACCCTTTTTTGTGAATTTGAAGGTAAAAATTGGAGAGAACTGAAGAAGGACAAGGGATTTGAAAAGAGAAAAAAAGAATAATTTTTTTATTATTATGAGAGAATCTAATTCAGGAGATAAAGAATCAAATGTCTTTTACCAAACTTTTCCATGCAAAAGAGCAATGCAAAGAGAAAGAGAATTAGAAAAATAAAAAGGGAAAAGAACAGAGAATGAGAAAGAAAAACAGAGTTTGCTAAATATATGGGAGAAGAACAGAGAATAAAGGACGAGGAAACAAAGGTCATGCACCTTTGGAAGAGTTTAATTTTGTTAGCGACGTTCAAAAATATAAATAAATAACTATTTATATTTTAATAAATTTAATACAAATTTATTGGTAATTATATAATTTCCTTTTTTTTTTTCTTTATTTTACACTTTTTCATACTTTGATTACTTTCTATCTATTATTAGCATAAATAAATAAATTTTATGAGAAATTATCATTTTATCGGTCACTTTCATCTTTCATTAACAAAATGAAAGATAATTTTATGATTATTAAAAAAATTAATAAAAAATGTAATAGATAATAAATTTTTTAATTTTGTTTATAAAATTAAAAATTCTTTTACTAATGTTTAAAAACGAACTCAAAATTTATTAGTCCAAGTGGTTTTCCTTAGCTATGAAAAGGAAAGGTCAAGTTTGAATATCCCATCTCTAACTTATTTAATCATAAAATGCAAAGTATTTACAAATGAAAGGTGCGGAAAAATTGACATATAATAATATATTTTGACAATTAATTTGCCTTGGTAGATATATCTTCAAGTATATGATAAGGATAAAATATCATGACATTGATATTTAATCTAGTAGTAAAATTTTAATCCACTATAAATTTCGTTTTGTTCACAAATTTTAAATAATGTTATGTACAAAGTATTTGGTTGTATTAAATTTAGAAATTATTATCGAATTCATAAAATAATGATTCATAAAATGCTTGATTTGGATGCATAATAAAAATTGTTTCATGAAATTTACGTATTATAATTGAATCGAACCTTTAAATCAAGTTTGAATATGTTTTGTCATGCTTAAGTTTCCTATTATTTTCTTATTTGAAAACAATTAGTGTTTTTTTTTTTTTAATCATAATCCCATGCCCCATCTAATGAGGATGAAAGGATTTAAAATCATGTCAATTGTTGCTATGTCATGACTTATAATATATATATATATATATATATATATATATGTATCTTTTGAGAAGTAAAAGTTTGGGAAAAAGAGAGAGAGATGTGTGGTTGACAAAAGAAAGCTTTCAACAGACAGATCCATGGAAAGTTAGAGCTGCACATGGTTTACCTGCCCTCTAAGGTTTTCTTTGCTTTAGCTAGCTGATCATTCTTTGTTTGCTTCACTCATCTTCCAAATAATGTGCAAAACAAAAAATATTCTTCCAAGGAAAGAGATATTATTATGTAATATTATTAGGATAAACCTCATATCATTAAACTAAATAAAAGTGAAGTCACCATAATTTATTTTAACTTATTATGCTGTTAATGGTCACAGATTATTGGGTTTTTTTTTCTTTTAGTATATAACCTTGTTTTGTTGATTGATGATGAATATAACAGATGCATGATCTGGCTGGAAATATTCCAGTTTGATTTTTCAAATCTAAGATCAGATTTTGTATGATGTCGGTTGCATCTCTATTCTTGAGATATGTTGAACTTGAATACCTTTGCCCAAAAAGTTGAAAAGTCAATAGATGAACCAACCTTGTATTCGATCTTGACTGAACATAGAATGTCATGAGTCACTTTTGTATAGGATCACGGTTCGGATAAAAGTGTCTAAGAGTGAGGGTAGATCTCATGTGTTAAAAAAAATATTCTCATTTCAAATATTGATAGCATAATTACAAAAGTTTTTAAACTCTTCAGAAAGAGTAAGTAGTCGGCACGTTGTTGGATTGCCTTACTTTCTAAGATATCGAGCTATCTTTGACTGATTTGTGTGAAAGCATCCAACTAAGTGCCACAAGATCTATTGCCTTATTGAAAGAAAGCTTAGCTATGGATTTCTTGGAAACTATAAAAGATGGCTCAAGTAAACAGGCTTGGAAGAGTTTTATTCCAGGGTCAAGCCAACCTGATGCCATACGCAAAAACATAGACAAAATCTTCTCTACTATGACAAGGAAGGACCCTTCACAAAGTGTTCCAAATATGATTTAAAGGGTTATCAAATCATATTCTACACACAAAATAAGGTACATACTTCAGATAGGCAGGGGAGCAAGCTCTTAGGCTTAGCATATTTTTTTGACACACTATAACCGGCAGGTCCGGCTAAGATAGGGTTACCTGGCTACATTTATTTGGATGTGTTACAAACTGGCCTCAACTTATATGGCAATGTTGATGGAATACCGCAAGCTAGATAGTTTCTACAACGTGGGAGGAATCCAAATATATCCATGTGTTTGAACATAACCAGCTTTAGCTGAAAGCTCATCTGCTTCTGCAGGACCACGGCTGCCTGGTTTGTATGGAATTGATTTCATTTCACCATTGTCAATTCTGTGCAGAAGAGGAGTGAAAATCTGCCATGCCGCCTGATGGTGATTGAAGGAATATGAAAGAATGTCAGTTTGAATTTCCCCTATAAGTAATCTTTTTCTCGAGTATACGAATTTCTTACCTTTAACTCATCTCTGCGAACAAAATGCTGCTGATCACCTCTTATCCTGTATAAGTAAAATAAGATTCAGTTGTTCATTACATTTGCACTGCAAAACACCCATTCTTAATTCACTCGAATTTAACTAGTTACACAGTTTCTGATCTTCATTACCACGGCTACTAGCCCTTGAAGTTGAGATGAAAATTGATGCATTTCATTTGAAAGCAAAAGAGTAATGCATTACGGACAAGAATATTATTTCAAGAATCAGTAAGTGCAAGGATCATACGTGTCAAGAATAAGACGTTCATAAGCCTCCGGGATTATAACATTTTGATAACGTTGCCTGTATGACAAGTCCAGTTCACTTTGCACTGTTGACATCTCCAGACCAGGCTGCTTAACCTGCATCAGAGACATAGTGCATGTCAACATACAAGTATAAAGATCTCGCAATTGATTCTAGAAACCGTTGTCAATGCTTAAACTAACTCAACGCTCAATCCTGTCACTTGTGGTTGGCTACACGAGCAGTTTTTATAAAATCTGGCCATGGATTTCAGTAAATTCTAGAAAATTCATAAAATGTTTCTAAAATCTGATAAGTTAACCCAAGGTAGGGGCATCAAGCCAGCAAGTATTCAGGATTGGTGATCAATGGTGCCCAAAAGTCACAACAAGGAGCACCTTCATCTACGGTCACCACCCACAACTAAAGATTTAAGATAATGTGAATCGACAACTGTTGGTTTTGAAAGTATCTTATCTACAAAATTTAGCAAACAAAAATAGCAGACTACTAGATAAATTTTGAAGCATAAATGAAACATCTGAAATCACAAGCAGGAAAATCATCATATTTAGAAATTATAGCTGTAATAGCTTTCAGATGGACACAATAAGATTAGCAAACTCACTGTTAGCTTCATGTAAATGGCTTCTGAAGGTTGTAGGCGTATCACAAACTCATTTCTCCCTTGCTTTTGACCTAAATAAAGAAGACACAATTCAAGCAACAAGTTGTTAATTACATTTTACGAGTAGATTTTACTTGTCCTATAAATGTTCTTTCCCTCTGACACCCTAATCATAAGTATTACACCTTCAAATCAAACTGTTCCAGCTCGTTATCTTTCATTTATGGACAATCACCATTGTATTTTTAGATCAATAAATGACATGTATTCATCTATCATAAAGAAATAATCACTAAAGACACCCCTACATATAAAAGACCACTATCTTAGTTTTCAAAGTAAGCTTCTGAAGTCCATTCCATTATTGATAAATTTGATAAATTCCCAAGTAATTACATAAACTTAAGTCAGAGAGTATCGTGCTTCAACACTCAAGTTCATCAAAAAGACTACATAAGCAGCTCAATGGAAACAAGCAATCATATAAAAGAAGTTATCAAGAATCTTAAAGGTCTATTGTCATACATTTGAATATATCACCAGGAACTTCCTTAAATTGAACGCGTATCTCTGCCTTTCTTGAATTCAATGCCTTCCCTGCCTTTAGTATAAATGGAACACCTGGAAACAAACCATTACATGAAATTGGCAAATCTAATGAGAAGTTTAAATTAAATTCATGGTTTGGTCAACTAAATGAAGAAGCAAATAAAACAATCAACAGTAATTACTGACAGACTCAGACATGAATGGATAAAATAACATCAAATCCAAATAAGTTGTTCAGATTTTCCGGGGCTGAGCCGCTAAAATGTTTTTATAAGAGAAAAAAAAAAAAACAAAATGATGCTATTATACTACCTTCCCATCTTTCATTATGTATACGGAGAATAACAGTTGCAAATGTTGGAGTGTTTGAGTGATCAGGAACTGTTGGATCATCTCTGTAACCTTCATATTGTCCAAGTACAGCCTCTTCGTCTTTAATTGGAAGTACCGATCGAAGAACCTGGATTTCATATAATCAGCATATAGTAAAGAAAGCACTGACTAGAGAACCTACATTAGAAGGATAATGAGAAATCATAGGGAGGATTATTACATCAACGGTCAACCATATACTCCTTTAATGGACGTATTGAAACTTAATTGGTTTGTCATGCATGCATATGGTAATCTTCTAGGGCATAGATATGAAACAACTAGCAGTCACTTCCCAAAGTGTGGAGTGAAAAGATGCGCACCTTCACTTTCTCATCACGAATGTGCTCAGGTTTAAGAGAGACAGGCTTCTCCATAGCAACAAGACAAAGAACCTGCAGATGGTATGAACTCACTAAATAAGTAAAGTAGGCTGACGCTACGTAGCACGTTCTTCCTCCTACCTGGTTTTGTTTGTTCTGCTTTCTTTTGGGTATATGTATCAAGAAACATAATACCTCAGAAATCAAAATGAGCACATGATCTAAGGACTAAGGTACTTCATTTTACAACTAGTATCAGTGTATCACCTCAATTAATAGATTTATTAAAACTACAACTGAATACACAAATAATAGGAAATGATATGCTAACTTGTGGACACTCCAATTACACATAGCAAATTATGCGAAGACTGCATTCTTAACCAAATGATATCTAGTTGAGGTTAGTAATGACCTTACCTGCAACAGGTGGTTTTGGATAATATCACGGATAATTCTGCCATGAAGCAAAAAGGAAAAGGAACTAA